CCTAACACACAGCATTGAAAATTCATAAAAGCATTAAACATTTGCATGAATAGATGTCTATAATAGGTGTATATTATTGAGATAAGGCTAGATATGCATATTATCTGATGCACAACTAGTTTGAACGCTGTTACGAAATTGGTAGGAAGCAATGAGGTGTATCTGTTTATTTACAAGTGAATGATTCAGGGCTGAGAGCCCGTATATATCGAGGCGGAAAAGAGTAAAAACTGGTGACAAATAAATTTCATTTTTTAGTTGTTTTTTTCCGGGAATAGTAAAAATCCATAACTACCAATTGTTTTTAACGAATGAAATTTTCATATTGAATTTCTTCTTCACCGTGACAAATTTCCCTACAGTGAATTGTTATTGTTGAGAAAAAATTAACTCCTCCCAAATATTATCTAACATTGAANTACAAAATGTTCGAATCCGCTACTTTTGGCGCTCCCATTCGCTACTTTTTAATCTTATGTTCTGGCAACACTGTTTCCGTCCCGCTTTCAGGCCTGGAATGATTTGCGATCAACTCTTCAATATCCCTTTTTTTCGATATATCAAACAATTTATAAGCACGTTGTCCGAAATGATAAGAAAATTATAGATCATATTTATTCAGAAACACCAATTTTTATTCAAAATAGCTACAGTTTCATTAATTAAAATGGAAATTATTGTTATGAAATTAAATTTTAAATGATAACGATTCTCTAATTCAGACTTATGGTATCAATCCCCCTTCCCACCCATTAATGATTTTATTTTGGAGAAAAGAGTACATAGCCCCTCAGGGTTAGGCACTTTGAATACGTTGTTACAGTCAGTCTGAAAAATAATGATTATTTCTATATTTACATCCATCATTGAACAATGGCGGAAGATTTGATGTGTTGTTGTTGTTGTTTCTAATATCATTGCCACATTAGCAAGTCTGCTTGGCGAAGCCGAGCAATTTTAAGGCAGAGAGTGCGTTTCTTGTTTTTCAGTGGCGCCCTCTATGACCAAGAATCAGACTTCAGCCACATCGTAGATTTCCAAAACTAACCACTGTTGAGCGACAGCCCTTAGAAGCCCAAGGCCTATCGTATCCACCCCAGTTATCTTACATTCTTGATCTCAGGGGTGCAGAATCATATGCTCCGGTTGTATGGTCAACCTATCTTTATATATATATAAATAGATATATGTTACCGGCAAAGTATGAAACGTAGGCATTTGTATAGAATGCCTAGGCATTCTATACAAATGCGGATGTTTTTAGGCAAAGTATGAGATGTGAGAAGTATTACATACTTTCCCTAGGCATTGTATAAAATACCTAGACATTCTATAGAATGATAAATGCTATTTAGGCAAAGTATGAAAAAAACGTTTGTTTTATGTTCGCTACGGTTCCTTGGGGTATTCATCCACTTTTCCTTCTAGGTTAATATCTTCTTTACCTGTACTATGCATGATTCTTTATCGCCTTACGAGATCATTGCCAACAAAACCAATTATTTTTATTTTTTGAAATGCCGGATGCTATTTAGGCAAAGTATGAAATAATCGTCCTGATGAGGTTATTATGTAAATGATGTGCATGTTACTGTGAATGACCGAAATCGGCTGTTGTTGACTTTCACCGGTGAATGTTGACAATCACATAGTCGCTTTGGTGAATGTCCGAAATATTTATTACATCCGATTTCATATTAATTTATTCGTGGATATAATTACATTTATTCGATATTTTAATACTTATTGACGATAGATTGGAAGAAACATCTGTGTTTGGAATATCGGGCAAATATATACAGGGCAATGGCACTTGACATTAAAAAAATATCAGTGTAGGGTATACCGGGCAGTGGCACTGAACCTTAAAAAATCATCAGTATAGGATATACCGAGCAGTGGCACTTTACTGGATCTAGTATGACTAGACCTTTGGTAAATATACGAAATAAATACTAGGTCTAGTTAAGTGCCACTGCCCGGTATACATTTTCCCGGTATACAATTGCCCGGTATATCCTACACTGATGTTTTTTAAAGTCTAGCCATTCCCCGGTATATATTTGCCCGATAATCCAAACGCTGATGTTTCTTCCAATCTATCGTCAGTAAAAATTAAAATATCGAATAAATGTAATCTATCGGCTTTAACCCCTTGGGGACGGGTGATTCAAAAATGCATTCGTGCAAAATCAGAATCAAGTTGCAATTAAATAAAAAACGGTAACTTAAATGTAGTCGTTACTAATTTGACAGACTTACTTTGCTTTTATTTTAATTATTGTTAGTTTAATCATNTTACATTTATTCGATATTTTAATACTTATTGACGATAGATTGGAAGAAACATCTGTGTTTGGAATATCGGGCAAATATATACAGGGCAATGGCACTTGACATTAAAAAAATATCAGTGTAGGGTATACCGGGCAGTGGCACTGAACCTTAAAAAATCATCAGTATAGGGTATACCGAGCAGTGGCACTTTACTAGATCTAGTATGACTAGACCTTTGGTAAATATACGAAATATATACTAGGTCTAGTTAAGTGCCACTGCCCGGTATACATTTTCCCGGTATACAATTGCCCGGTATATCCTACACTGATGTTTTTTAAAGTCAAGCCATTCCCCGGTATATATTTGCCCGATAATCCAAACGCTGATGTTTCTTCTAATCTATCGTCAGTAAAAATTAAAATATCGAATAAATGTAATCTATCGGCTTAAGTATTAAAATATCGAATAAATGTAATTATATCCACGAATAAGTTGATATCAAATCGGGTGACATTTTGAATTTGTCATTTTTGAATGGCATTTTGACGAATCGGAGATGTATTTTATACTTTGCCGGTTTCTCATTTGTCATTCTATGGAATGCCAAGGAAATGTGTGAAATATAAATCATCTCATACTTTGCCGGCTAATTTTAGGCATTATATACATTGCCTAGGCATTCTATAGAATACCGGATTTCATACTTTGCCGGTAACATGTGTATAACTAGTCAGAATATTTAGACAGAGCTTTGCTGTGCATTCGGCTAGGTTACCATTTGATCGAATTTATATTGTGCAAAATAATTTTAAATGGGAAGTGATCTGATTGTCTTATGCGCCAAGTAATAGTATAGCTGACATTTTGTACGGTAATTGATAAAACTTTTTGCTCCTGGAAGTATCTTATATCTATAATATATAAATCTAGGATTTTAACGTGACATAAAACATCAAAGTGCATTTGCAATGTAGTTAAACCATCAATGTTTTAATAACCATGAAATATAAATAATCCATGAAACATCCATAAACAACTTATATGTGCATAAGATCTAATTTAGGCATATATAATTTAAAATGTTAGTAAGTAAATTTGATTAACTTTTTATAAAAAAAGAAACAAAATCACATTGAAAAAGAAACACGAGATTTTTTTAAAATTTTAAATAAAAAAAAAGAGATTGAAAATTATATATAGTAAGAAAAGAAATAACTTACAACAAGATGAAATAACTAATAATAATGGTATCTGCATTAAAATTTTGTAATCCATGGTCCCGTTTACTCGGATTTAAAAATGCAAGACTTTATTGCAAGTTCTCAGTTCTTATATACATTTCCTATCTCTTCCTGTTATCTAATAAATGTTGCAAGTGTTAAAAAAAATTGTAATGGCAAATAAATGTTAATTTAAATTTCGACAGTCTGACTACACCTTGACGAATTGGTATTACGAAGGATTACGATTGATAAAAAACAGTGACGAAGATTATATGTAGTGACATAGTGATTTTAATGCAAATCTCATGGAGGTTAATTGGGGAACTGAATCTATTTATAGAAATTTCTGAAGCAGTTGTTACAGCGCCATCTATACGAGCCATGAAAAATGTATTATTTTGAAGTGCTATGTGAGATCATGCTTGTGTGTGTGAAGTGTGAACACAATGTGAAGTGCAAGTGCTAATAAAGGAGCGTTTTTATATTCAGTCCACAAGAGTGTTTTTATTTTAGTGGAGTGATTTAATACCTAACTGGCCTAAGTAACAGGACTGTATGCAATTTTAACAAAAAACCTCTTTTTCCAAAAAAATTTATTCCAAACTGATTATTCTTGTTCTTATCATGTTGCATCATTATGCATGATGCTTTGTGTTTAATACTAAGTGTTTTTCCGATTTCTTACCATCTCTTCAAAACGAAATAGTTTCTTAATAAAAAAAAAAATACTATAAAGATAGTTTGTCAATAGATATAGTTCATTTTGTAACGTAATTAGACAAGAATTACTATACAATATTACAAATTATACTAGCCTATTATGATGATTTTTTGGGAATAAACTGTTTTAAATAATCTGTCTGATTGTCGAGGGAAAATTTAAAGTGCTTCTGCCACTCACTGCTTCATTGGGCAATCGATTGTGTTTTAATCACGGCTTCTTCAATTGCGATTTGTCAGGTTTCGATAGTACATTTTGGGAACGGGATAGATTGGCTGATGGAGAGTTTGGCTCATACCCGTGAGGTCGTGAGTTTGATCCCCTCCTACCGAAAACTCCACCTGTACAAAATAATGAATGATGCACGATAAATCTGTTGGAGTCAATGAGTTCTTCAAGTTCCGATAACAAATCAATACGTCTGAAGGTACTAAATCAGAGATTGATCGTGCAGGTCAAAATTATAATCTGCGGATGGATGGATTGCCAGGCGAGCGGACTAATCATCGCTGCAGGGAAGAGTGGGGAGCACCGTCTCATTCCTGTCTATACCTTCATGGGGGTGAAAACATCAAAACTGATTTTTAACAAATTAATTTGAAGTTAACTTAATGAAATTTTAAGCAGTCTTGAGAAAAGTTTGCCCCCAATTTTCCAGAGTATGGAAAATTTAGGGAGGTATTCTTATAGATATTTCGAGTCTGAAGAGATTAAAAAAACTCTTTAGGTACCTACATAATTGTACATTTTTTTAAAAAAGTAGAATGTAACAACTGTAGAATCAAACATAGCCTTTATTTATTCAAATTGTTACAGGAAATTTTCATATACGCAGTTTATTATCTGTAAACTTTTCTACCGTTTAATGGCTGCACTGGCCTATAAATGTTTAACATATGACATTTATCAGCATCTGGTGTACCTTCCGGCACCGAATACAAGCGATATAGCCCATTCAACTGAAAATTAAAAAAAAATAATACATTCATATTGACTGAAGATTTAAAACATATTTATCAGTATGTCATTACAGTTTGACTATCGAAATAATTCAAATATTTTCCTCTACTCAGAAGATTTCATTTATTTTAAAAATTTTCGTATAATACGTTTGCAAGTATGATTTAAAAATTAATTGTTTCAAAATTAAATTTAAACTTTAAAAAATGATTTTTTCAAATAAAGTATCTACAAATAAGCATTATCAAAAAATAGAGCTGGTAAAAAATATAAGGCCTGTAACTGTTTTCTGAATTGGATTTTAAATTTTAACCTTGCTTTATTTTTTTATCCTAATTAGTAAAATTATTTAACAATTTTCTTAGTTTCTTTTTATGCTCCCGTGGCTTCGAATAAAAATGTAAACTCATCTCATTGCTAAGCTAAGCAATTTTCGTTGCTTGAAACCCCGAATTCCTATAATATTAAAAATAAAAATCTTGAGTTTACTTAGTTTTATTTTAATTATATAAATAAGAAAATTGCAAATTTTAAAATTTACCGCTCAAAATTAGTCAATGGCAAATGCAACATTTTATTAAGTAAGAGCAACAACGTCATTAATTCTTTGTTTTCTGTTGTACATACACTTTATACTTTGAATAAATACATATATGTGTTTACACCTTGAATACGTACTTTGAATATAGATTGAAAAGAATGGCAATGAATTTAAACAGTATTATATAATTTTTTTTGAATTTTTTTTAAGGGCGGGCACTTGGGACAATGACCCATTGGCCACAGGAATGCTAGAACTGCTACTCTCTTCTCGTTACCCAGTGGGCACCTGTGGTAAGACCACGGCGGTGGAGCAGAGTCGCCCACGTCACACAACCACAAACCCGTTTATAGGGCGGATCTCATTCACACAAAGGAGAAAGAACAAAGAACACAGAGAGAGAAAGAAACATTCATGCTCTGAGCAGGATTCGAACCCGCTACCATCGGATCCACAGTCAGACACGCTAACCACTCGGCCACCCGATCGGCTTTTTTTGAAAATAAAGATGGATATTTTTTTAATAACAAGCCTGCCAACTACTAAACTTTTTTAAAAATATTTAATAGAGTTGCAGACAATCAAAAACTTAAGGTTTCAGAATTTCGGATTAATTTGCTACCATTTTAAAAGGCATATTTTCTTGTCTTGAAAGCTCCCCAAGAGGAAACTAGATTTTTATATTCACCTTTGAATGACGTGTAGTGGAATGAAAAATAACTTTAAATCAACTTTTCTAAACAAGGAATCATATGTTAAAGCATATATGTTATGCAAAGAATCATATGTTAAAGCTCATTATAGAAAAATAGTTCCCACGAAATGCAAGAGAGTTGTAATTCTCGTATTATAATAATAACAGTTTTTTTAAATGTGTTTCACATAAGCCACATTATTTTAATTTTTTTTTAGGTAATTTTTAATGTTTCATATCTGCTCTATTACTTTAAGTGTTTAACTATTTTGATATTTTCACATCAGCTTCAATATTTTGATATTTTCACAGTATCCCCATTATTTTAAATGTTTCAAAATAGTTCCAATATTTTGAGAGATATACACCAGCCTGATTATTTTGAGTATCTGTCTCAATTGATTTCTTCTAAATCTCACATTCTACTTATATTAACTTTAATTTAGTGGCATGATTCTTATTTTTTTTTAATGATATATTTTTTTTTCTAAAAAGTAATACGTGCTGGTTGCACAAATGATAGAAATTGGTCTTCCTTTTGTCACCACGATTAAGACCTTAGGAGCATCATTTAAACAAAATATATTTCTAATAACTTTTTCATTAATTTTGTATTCATTTAGGTCAAAATAAGTGAAAAATAATAAAATTATCATTTCAATAATTTATGATTATGAAATATAGCATAATACAGCGGTGTCTTTTTCTGCATTAAAGATAAAAAAATTTAAATACAGCTCATTTCCAAACAATAATTTTTCAAATTTGTATTTAGTTGCAGTTATTTAGATCTAAAAGAAATAGTTATTCATCATTGAAATTTCTTTAATTTACAAAATCAAATATTGATAAATTTTTTACTGTGAAGGAATTTTTTTTTCTTAATTATTTTTTATGGATTTTATATTTTAGCACAGATATAATTTTGGTAATCTAACATATATTTTTAATAACTATTTGATCATTTCTAATAATTAAAAAATACCAAAATAAACATATTTTTGCTTGCAATTAGGGCGTCTAAAAATATATGAGAGCGAAAGCTGTGTTCTATCTGCTTTCATGTTCTATCTGCTCTATTAAATTTTTCCAATATCCTTGGGAACCCTGTAAGTGACATTTCATCAGCAATTCTAACAATCATCATCATAAAAATTTTATCAATAAAACATTTTACAAAGATTCGAAGGAATCATGATATTGAACATGGAATTAAAATACATACTTGGTTACTGCGCACTCCTTTGTGTCTTCTGCATATCAGCCAAGTAATTCCTTCATCACATGGTGGAAAACCCATGGAACCCTCATACCTGTAGAATGGACACCCATTGTCAATCAGATCTTCCAGATAAATCTTGCCCTGTCTATGCGAATTACTTCTATTCAGATGAATTTCTCCTTCGAAACTTTGTCCTGCATATTGAAATGAATCCATTTGGGACAAAATGTTGTATAGTACTGAGTTTATTTGACTGCTGCTTTCCTAGGTATTGAGAAAGCTTGATTAAGTTTCTTTTTGTAAAAGTATTTTCGAAAACAATTAATTCTTCATAAATATATAGGTTTATCTCAAAAGACTTTTTAAAGATCATTTTTTACATGGTTGCACCAGATGGTTATGCGGTAATTGATTTGGTACAAAGGTCCATGTCATGAAGAATTATGCAAAACATATTTCCTAACATTTAAAAACCAAGTTATTTTCTTATTTAATATTTTTTTCAATAAAGAAAAATCATTAATAGAATCTGTAACTTTTTCATACTACAACCTTGAATTGAGAGCAGAATAAAATCTATTTTCGGATATTCTCTCAACATCTGCCTAACACTTTAGCGCAGTATTGGAAAATCGTTAACTGGGTGCTAATGTTTTGGGTTCATTAATCTATAAATATATTTCTCTTACAAGGCGACAAAAAAAGCCTCATTACAACTCCCCGAATGGCAACGCTAGAAAATGGACCAATGATTGCCGCTAAAAATGTCACATGCCAAATCTAGATGTGGTGGCTCAACATATAGCGCTTTTAAAAACGGAAACTGAAATAACCACAGAGAGCATAAGCTAGGCAGAAGTGTCTTCGTCGATAGATCTCTATTTTAGTATTTTGTCGAAACGCTTTTTTTCACGAATTTATATATTACGAATTTATTTGACGATTTTTGATTTATATCACGAATTTATTTGTTTTACTAGAATTTATTTGTTTATGCAGGTTCTTCCATTGCAATTCACTTATTTCAATTTTTAATAGACTTAATTATAGCCAAAATTTTAACCTTTTTAAAGAGATATCAGTTTTAGAAATTTTATCTTAAGATTTTATACTATAGTACATTTCTAATAGGTTTAACAAATTACATGTCATTTATTTGAATTCAAATTTAGTTTAATGACTTAGTATTTACTAAAAAGATGTAATTTTTTTCTAAAAAAAAAGTTGTTATATGGATTTGAATGATTGTTTTGAATTCTTAGAAATTTCTGCATTTGCAATGTACCTAAGTTAGTAGCGAGTGAAGCGAGCTTGGTTTGCGAAGCAAACCATATAAGATAGCGTAGCAATTTTTGGGGGTTGGCGAGCGTTAGCGAGCAGGGGGCGCAGTCCACTAGTGCTTTTTATTATTTTTCACGTTTTCTTTTCGCCAACACATTTGAATGTATAAGATTAAGAGAAAGAACCTTGGCATTAAATTTAATCAATTAATAGCATGAATTCCTGAACCTTCCTTGGCGGAAATAATGCTAACGCACACAAGACGCTCTTATTTTTGATTTCTCTGTAGACGGATACGTCTTGTGGAGCTCAGCCCAGCAGCCACAAACTCCGAGCCATTTTCTAAATTTATTTACTTGTATGTACACAAAAATGAATTTTTTTTAAACTTTGGAGCTCCATATGATTCCATATTTCTAAAATAAAACGTTTTTATTCATTATAATTTGATTCTTAATTAACTAATTTATGATTTTTGATAAATAGTTGCTTGCCGTCATCACTTCGGAAGAAAATATTTTCAAGATAGAAATACGCCAATCAACAAATTTAACGATTGCTAAATTCCAACAACATCTTCAAGAAATAGTAATTTCTACAAACACCTAAACATTCCTGGATAATCCATTAATAGTGACCATTACATTATTAATCTTAGATGATTTTTAATGATGCAATGCCTATCAATGAAAACAAACATAGATACTGCTTTCTACAAGCCTGACGCAGATATTCATTAATGCCTCTGCCGCCATTGAACAATTTAGAATTGTTAGAAAATAGTTTGTTGCCTTTTTGTATGCTTCTTGCAGTCCATGTACCTCATATAAAGGTCTTAAAGCTGAATTTCCATACTCTTAAATGTGCCTCGTACAGTTTATGAAGCTCATATAAAGGTTATAAGTTTGAATGTTCATTGTCTTGATTGTGCATGTAATATATGGCGTTCATAAAAAGTAATAAAGCTTAATTTTCATATTCTTAATTTGCTCCTTTGCAGTCTATGAAGTTTATATAAAGGTTATAAAGCTGAAGCAGGGTTTCCTTCAGTCTACGAGGCTCATATAAAACTGAATTATTATGCTTTAAAATTATTTAATCATCATATATAAGCTAATGGTTTACTTAAAATGTTGAAATTATAACGAATTTTTATGAACTCGAGGTAAAATTTAGATTTAAATTAAATTTTAGTGTAAAAAATTCCATTTGTTTTCAAGAAGAGAAAAATTATTCTCTTGATAAAGGAACGAGAACAATTGGTGAAGCAACGATTGATGGTGCTTACATTTATGCAATGTTATGTTGTTATTGTAAGCATTCAAACTGTTATAAGCATATGGATCATACACGCTTATCACACAAATGACCGCCATGAAAGCTTTTTTACAGGCCTAATGCATTAAATTATCAATAGATTTTGATGAATACATTTACAAATCAATATAAACTTCAACTTAGAGGTATTGACAGAAATTTGGACACAACTCCACAATTACATTCCACAACTCCAATAAAAAAACAATATATTCTGTATCGCATAAACTTTTAGAATAAAAAAGCCTTCAAATGACTAAAAGCGTAACTTTTTTCCAAAATTTACCACTATAAAGGAATTATCGAATCAAAAAATAAAATTTAGAATTATAACAAACAAAAAATAAATACTTATTATTAATCTATCCACATCTATATCAGAGAGAGCTAACAAGCGTAATCTCTATCAGAAAATTTTCACAGTGGTTGCAAAAATATATAGCGCATCTCGATTATGCAATACATTTGTGACAACTGGTGTTTATTATTTCGTAAAAATATTCATCTCTAAAAGAACTAAAGCCTTACCTGACCTCAAAACGATTAATATAAATCTGCAACAATTATTTATTTTTTCTGTGAACCCTGTGAGCCTTTACAATTTTTATTATCCTTCACTCACCCCACGATTGTGTTTCCAAGATAGCCTAATTAATTCATTAAAACATTAGCGGTAAAATTAAGGGGAAAATAATTTCTAAGAGACTACTCAAATACGCAATAAACACATACATTCAGAATATAATATTCCCTATTATTAAAAACATGTAACTAGAGTTAAAATTGATTTCAAATCGCTTTTAAGAAACAAATTTATTAGTCTCTTTCACTCTACAACGAAAATAACTATTTATTTTTTTAAATTAAGCTTTATTATTCATAATTGGTAAATTTGTTTTTTTTTCCACACACAATTATATCAGGTGGGATCACTATTATAGACGATGAATTTTGTTCATAGATTTTTTTTTCATGACGCCAACAGAAATGGCATTTTTGCCCCAAAAAATGACACTAAACTAAACTCAGCGGCGCGACAGCCCCTAGAGGGCCAAGACCTACAGTGCCCATCTCAGTTTTCTTGACCTTGGGCTCCGGGGTGCAGAAGCAGATGTTCCGGTTAGGTGGTCAGCCGAGCGCAGAACCCCCAGTGTTTAGTTCCCAAGCATGCTTGTAACTCATTTATCGACCCACTGAAGGGATTAATGGCTGAGTCAACCTTGCCCGGCCCGAGGATCGAACCAGGGACATGTGACACGACAACCCGAAGCGTTACCGCTCAGCCATCGGGCGTCGTGTATAAAGGTATAATTTTGTAATAATGTATAAAGGTATAATTTTGTAATAATGTATAAAGGTATAGTTTTGTAATAATAATTTACAAAAGAACTGGGTTAAAAGCAAGTTCTGCGCTTGGTACTGACAACCTTTATAAAGACAGGGAATAAAAAATAATAATTTGGTATACCTTCAGAAATCCCGAAACTGTAACTAATTTTCCCTCGTTTTGATGAATAAAGCGAGCCTGTTAAAAGAAAGAGAAAAAAGTTAGAAAATGATTAACATATGCAAAGATAGTAATGAAAATTAATAGTAATAAAGTAATGACTCTTCAAACTATTATTTTTAAGTTTTCCTTTATATTGATGCTGACATTAATTTCATTATAATAAGTTTATTAAAATGATAATAATCATAATAGCAGTGGTTGATTGTCATTCTTCATATTTGCACTTTGAATACGTAATACGGTTACGTCTGCACATTTTCGGTAGTAAAATAACAATTGTAGTGTTAAATTATAGGCAGAAATCTTTTCGGTTTAGTCTACACCGAAGTTTTGAATACAAGAATAATCAGCATTTTTAAATATGTATCTAAATATGTTATGGTGTTCAAAATCTTGAAATTTATTAAATGAAGAATGAAGTGTCAACAAAGCATACCTCTGATGCCAGTTTAAAAATAAAAACTGGGGGAAACCTAATATTTTGTTAGCAAAGTACATAGGAGGGGAGAATGATTTTATCCCCTTTATTTTGCACATTAGATACGGTATAATAATAACATGGTCTATGTATGGGATGTCGAATGATGAATCAGTTTAACGTCGCTGGTGTCGGGTAACTGAATAATTTTTTATGCTTACTTCCATGGTATGTCTTCTACCATTTATCACGTCTTCTGATCCTTTGTTTGTTGCGTTACCCCAATTGAAGTGGAAGTGGCTCAATGTATAACTCTTACCATCAAGTGTGATTGATCTTTCAACTCCATCTTGGGGTGTTACAAGAACTGAAAAACACAGTAATTTATTAGAATTTAAATACAATTTAAAGTTAAAATATTTCTAACCTGACTATATGCGCTTCTTATAGCATGGACTCTTAGGTTACTATTACTGTAATAGTTACAATTAAGTAAATTTTTTAAAACACATTACCTATATCCTCCTTCATAATCATAAATGATTTTTACCTGAGGTAGGACATGTGGTTATTTATTTATTTTCGAGTTAGTTATTAAATTTCGAAGAAATTTGTTGGAATTATAAGAAATTCTCAATTTGACACTTCATCTTTTAGCAAACACCAAAAATGATCAATGTTTCATTATTTTGTTTTTTATACTTGCTTTTGAATTATTCATTCAAAAATACTTGTTGCTGGTCAAATTATCAATATGATTTTAATCATGCTTAGTAAAATGTTAATCAAATATTAATAGCATGTATGTATTTTATTTTATAACCGTTCTTGTACAGCCTACGCAATTTTTTTGAGTTCAAGGCTACCCATGTTCATTTTTGTAGCCTTGTAATTTTGAACCCGATTCAGAAGACAAGGGAACTCTTGGATCAAGTATTGGGAGAAATTTGCCTTCGTGGGGGCTTTTTCTCGATGAAACTAACCCGCATTTGCGCTACGTGGAGAGGAAAAAAACGAAAACTTTCCACGGTTAGCTTGACGGTAAGGGGACTCTAACGCATAATCCGTCTATGACTAAGGATATTTCACGTCAGCACTGTGGTCGATAGGAGCCAGGTCGATGCGATTCATATCGACCAGCCATCGATAGGATTCGAACCCGGTTCACCTCATTGGGAGGCGAGTGCTCTGTCACCTGATCCGTAACGGTGCTAGTATGTACGTAGTAATATTTGATTAATAGTTTACTATGTACGCGAATATGTTTACGTTGCTGTTGTTTCGAATGGTCTTGCCTTCGTTTGATAAGAGAGCATATGGTGAATGCGACTTATCTCAGAACCCCCGCATAGATGGCAGCACCATTCGTTCATAAGACCATTTCATTTTACAAATATGTATGTCGCATATACATGGTTGGTCTTAAAGGACTCGCGGACCAAACCCCGGTTCTTATCTTTGAACCACCTGGCTGCCATAACCAGAATATTTATAAATTTATTGATGAGATTGTTTTTTTATTAAATTTAGTAAAGAGATATTCAAAAACTACTAATTTTAAGAACGCGCCCTTAAAAGAGCCTAAAAGTTCAAAAATTTTGTAAATTATAATACAAAATTGGCAATGATGAAATACATCGTAAATTCTTTCTAAAATGAGTAAATATTTATAGAATCAAAACAGAAAGCAAAACTTACTCGTGAAACCAGTGTTCACTATCGAGACGTTGGTAATAGGTTCATCGTAGCCATGAAGTTCAAGTCTCTGACGCTCTCCACTTCTCACAGTTTCTCTCGTTATTATGTTAATGGGAGATTGAGATGTTCCATTACAATTTGGATACTTCTCACCCCAATGTTGTGGACCTAATTGAAAGTATTCAAATAAGAATGAAAAACTGCAGGTATAATCTGATGTATAAGATTGGATTTTGTTTCCGTTTTTTGTTCGAATGTGTCTAAATTATGTCGATCCGGGACTTGGATTTTTTTAAAAATAAAAATAAATAATTAATTTCAATATTAAGAATCCTATAAGATTTCGTATTTATAAGATTACGTTATAAACTCTCCTGTGTACGTTTTTCCTTTTCTGCGAGGAATGAGGATGATTTCATGCCGGTGTGATGAAAAGCAATGCGCCAAAACGATTAAAGCAATATATTTATAATGCGTGGAATCATGTTTGTTTCTCAATCTGGTCACCAGGTGATAGTGCCGGACTATTTGTTATGTGTTTAGAGACAGTTTATTTAAAGCTAGATGTCAGTACTCAAGCATGCAAAATAAAAATTTACCCACAAATTAAAAATGAGTTTATAAAATTTAAATACACTTTAGTTTTATGTAATTGTCTTGAATTTAAAAAAATGAATACTTTTATGACCATTTTCTTCAAAATCATGCAATTATTAAGCATAGATTTCGATGCATTTTTTACCCTAAATAGATTCAGATCATTTTCAAGGGAATTGGTTAAAAATAAGAAAGGCTTGGTGGGCAAAAAGTATACTTTCAATTTGGAATGAGTTCTAAAGTTGTGGTGATTTCATGAGATTATCGTAAACTTTGTAAGATTTAAGTTTACGTCAATTTTATGAATTCAGTTAGTCAGTTGTAACACAGATATTGAATTCGCAAATACTTTTGGTCCATTGTATTAATCCCTTGTTCTTTTTCGATAATTTTTTAAAAAAGTGTATACCCTGTCCTTTGTACTTGCAACTACTTATGGATCGGATGTTGCTATTTCAATAAGTGAGACATTATTTATTAGGTATTTTTCATGCTTAATCGAATGAAGTTTTTCACGAGTATATGGTTCGAATACTTCAAGCGCTGAAAGTATTGCCACGCAAGAAAAGTACTACTCTTGACGCGTACTTAGGTACACTTTTTATTGTGCTATCTTTGGTTTATCTTACCAGGTTTTCTAAACCAACAGGTTTTATCTGGACTCATTTTTTCCGATGTGCTTTATCTTGCTGAAGTGATTGAAATGAAATTCGAGTAGATAGCATCAAAAGCTCTAATATAGTAATGCATTTCTTCATAATAAGAACAAGTCAAGAATATCTATATACAAGTCAAAAATAAGTATCATACACAGTTTTAAGCACTAGTAAATTACTGATTATTAATTACGATTATTAATTATTATACAGATAATTAGTAGTAGTAATAATTATCAGTATCATAACTAGTAAACCCATGCATTTATCGCCCTGTGTAATATTTACAAGTTAGTTTCTTTTTCAAAACTTTGCGGTTGGACAACAGATTCAGTATCATCCTTTGAAGCGTACCAAAAAAATTTTTCCCAATGTAATTTTAAAAAAATTATATACGTATCTGAGAAAGATTATTCAAAATTTTAAGTAACATACTGTAAATAGGTGAATTAATGACGTTAGTAAAATAAAATAATTATAACTACGAAAAAATAGGAAAATGAATACTAGAATAAAATGTTCCATAATGTCTTACCATTAGGTAAGTTTGAATCGTAAGACCAATCCTTGTCTTTGTCTGCAGGGCATTCCTCAGCAGATATAATGACAAAACCTGTAATATATTTATGTGCTTTTAGTATTTATTTTGAGTAAGGAACATCAAAGAATCACTTTGCTTTTAAAAAATTTTTTTAAAAAAAATGCTTCATATAATAACTGACTTAATATAGTAAAATAATATAATGACTTAATATAATAAAAATGACTTAAAAATTCATAGATGACTTCTTAAATAAGATTTTACGATTCCATGAAAAAATAAAAAGTTTAGCAAAACTAATTTGCTTTAATGTTATTATAATGAAAAATGTTAGGTTGTCTTAAGTTATAATTTAAGTAGTGTTAAATAGTTACACGCTTAGTATAAATTTCGAATAATTTTGCATTAATTTTTGAATTTCGTAAGGATTTAAATATAAAGAAATTATTTAGATTTATTTTTGATCCTTTCTAAAAATAGTTGTAGATATTTTAAATATAAACAGTGCTATGGTACCGCGTTCCCTACTCTCATANATATATATATATATATATATATATATTGTGTAAAATAATTTTAAGGGATGAGCAAGCTTATTGTCTTGGCAACAAATAATAATATAGCTGTGAATTTGTAAGATCATTCAGAAAAAGTTTCGTTACTGGAAGCAACTTATATTAATAATATATAAATCTAGGATCTTAACGTGACAAAAAAATTGAAGAAACATCAAAGTGCAATAGCAATGTAGCATCAATGTTCTAATAACCATGGAATATGAATAATCCATGAAACATCAATAAACAACTTATATGTGTATAAATTTGATTATTCTTTTAAAAAAACAAGCAAAATCACATTAAAAAACATGAGAATTTTTTTAATTTTAATTTAGAAAAAAGAGATTGAAAAATATTCATAGTAAGAAAAGAAATAACTTACAAGATAAAATAACTAATAATAGTGCTAACTGCGCTAAAGGCTTATATTCCATGGTTGATTCAAATTTAAATGTAAGACTTTATTGCAAATTCACAGTTCTTATACACATTTCCTATCTCTTCCTGTCATCTAAAAAATGTTGCAAAGGTTAAAATTCTTTCATTGCCAAATAAATTTTATTTTGAATTTAGACAGTCTGACTAAATTTGGGCGAATTGGTAACGGTATTTCCTGTCTTTAAGGTTTACGATAGATAAAAATCATTGACGAAGATTATACATAGTGACATAGTACTTTTAATGCAAATCTCATGTAGGCTAATTGGGAACTCAATCTATTAATAGAAATGTCTGAAACAGCAATGCATGCACCAGTGAAATTTTAACCTCTTTTTCTTAATTCATTAGAAATTCGTATTCTTGTTCTTATCACGTTACATCATTATGCTTTTTATTTAAATTATACAAAGTATTTTTCCGGTTTTTTTTTACCATTTCATAGAAAGACAGGTATTGTGAAGGTAATTGAAAGGCAGGTGTGCTATTTGAAAAATAGTTTTTAGTTGTTTTGAAATTCAAAATAGTTAAATGCGTGAAGATGGAATTTTTACGATAATCGTAGAGATGCCAACTTGCTCCGGACAGCAAATAAATATTTTTGAGTGGTAGTTTATTAATGTGTGCTTTTTGGTTTAATAAATTCAATTTATTAGATTTCTATCCACCACTATTTCTAAATAATTTGAAGTCTTACATTTGCAAATTTTAGTTTGAAGTTGTTTATCGTTTTTTAAATTATTATGGCGCGTCCGGAGTAGTTGGCATGGCTGTAATCAGGTCTGTTTGCCTTTCTCAATTCTGCCAAATCAACGCCTCCTATAACTGAAACCCTCCACACGGTTTTTAATAAGTAGTTAGATCTGACTGTTATGACAGGGATGCCAACTTGCTCCGCTTTGAAAAAAAAGTATTTTCTAGTGGTAGCGAAATTTAAGTTACTTTTAGTTTAGTATTTTTCATTTTAAGTAACTTTTTCACCACTAAATATCAAAAATTATAAGTATCATATAAATCGCAACGTTAAAGCCGTAATTAACTGGCTGCTCTATTAAAAAGAAGGCGTAACTATCCTTCTTTAACGAATTTTACGATATAATTCGCTACCGCTTTATTAAAACTATTTCAGAAAGCGGAGCAGTTGGCAACCCTGTTATGAAGATAAACCAGTTAACGAAAGAGACATTTAATGAAAAATCTAGTAAAAATAAGAAAGTGGTAGCAATTATACGTCTAAAACTTTGTTTAATTTATGAATATTATTGATTAGTCTTATTTACTTATCAACCACTACAGATTCAATTCACAAATATACATACATGATAAATGTCTCTCAATTACTTTTAAATTGTAATTTGGATTCATGCGCTCAACTGGTTCTCTTTTCAAATAGTGTACGCAGACTACTTATAAAATACTATGTGGAAGCTTTTTGATGTAGAAGGTGATGGCCAAACTCAGGTCGAACGAAATACGAATATTTACCACAGATTGTGGTGTTTCCTGTGTAATTCACAAGAACGGGTGATGAAATTAATTTTTGATCGATTAGAGCTGCAAGCTAGCAAATCACTCACATTATAAAATTCTTTGTTTGAGATGTAGCACAGGAAACCTTGACAGGAAAGGGTTTAAACGTAGAAAGTTAGGTCCGTCGTGGTTTTGAACTTATGTGCACCAAATATGGGGCGGAACTGCTCAGAATTGTGTATTTGTATANGTAAATATATATTTTAAAGTGGTATTTTATCAATTGTGATTCTTGATTTAATAAATTCAATTTAGTAGATTTTTAACCACAACTATTTCTAAATAATTCGTAGGCTTATATAATTCACAACTCTATTGCTCCGGACAGTAAATATATATTTTAAAGTGGTATTTTATCAATTGTGATTCTTGATTTAATAAATTCAATTTAGTAGATTTTTAACCACAACTATTTCTAAATAATTCGTAGGCTTATATAATTCACAACTCTATTGCTCCGGACAGTAAATATATATTTTAAAGTGGTATTTTATCAATTGTGATTCTTGATTTAATAAATTCAATTTAGTAGATTTTTAACCACAACTATTTCTAAATAATTCGTAGGCTTATATAATTCACAACTCTATTGCTCCGGACAGTAAATATATATTTTAAAGTGGTATTTTATCAATTGTGATTCTTGATTTAATAAATTCAATTTAGTAGATTTTTAACCACAACTATTTCTAAATAATTCGTAGGCTTATATAATTCACAACTCTATTGTTCTTATTCAAGCTACACCTTTTAAAAGGCAAACAATATTAGTCAAATATTTGCAAAATTTACTTTGTAATTCTTTTCTGTTATTTTAATTATTTTGGCGCGTCCGGAGCAGTTGGCATCGCTGATGATACTTAAAATAATTCTTTCCTCTAAGTAATACGAAGGAGGAATGGAACTTTAATAGGAGGAACAATGTTTTCCTCACTCTAACTTTGCAGCATTGAGAAAGACAGGTATTGTGAAGGGCAGGTGTGCTATTTGAAAAATAGTTTTTAGTTGCTTTGAAATTCTAAATAGTTAAATGCGTGAAGATGGAATTTTTACGATAATGGCAGAGGTGCCGACTTTCTCCGAACAGGAAATAAATATTTTCGAGTGGTAGTTTATTAATGTGTTCTTTTTGGTTTAATAAATTCAATTTATTAGATTTTTATCCACCACTATTTCTAAATAATTTGAAGGCTTTCACTTTGAAGGCTTTTCGTTCCTTTGTTAAAATTAAGTCAAGTTAAACCGTTTAAAAAGTAAACAAAATTAATCTTGCATTTGCAAATTTTAGTTTGAAGTTGTTTGCCGTTTCGTAAACTTATTACTTTAAGCTTTTGGTAATTTCTAGATGTATGGGATAAGGCCGCTGCGGGACCCAGGTGCCCAATTTTTTATGAATAAAGTAAGTAAAATTACTTTTAAATTGGAATTTGGATTCATGCGCACAACTGGTTCACTTTTCAAATAGTGTGCGCAGACTTCTTATAAAATACTATGTGGAGGCTTTCTGATGTAGGAGGTGATGGCCAATTCCAGGTCGAACGAAATACGTATATTTACCACAGATTGTGGTGTTTCCTGTGTAATTCACAAGAACGGGTGATGAAACTAATTTTTGATTGATTAGAGCTGCAAGCTAGCAAATCACTCATATTATAAAATTCTTTCTTTGAGATGCAGCACAGGAAACCTTGATAGAAAAGGGTTTTGACGTAGAAAGTTAGGTCCGCCGTATCTTTGAACGTATGTGCACCAAATATGGCGCGGAACTGATCAGAATTGCGGATTTGTATACGAGATGCATACATACAAACAGGCATTGCTCGTACGGTTATTATAACATTTAAAAAGCGGTGGCTATAATGTAATAAGAAATTTAAAATAATTCTTTTTATTGTATTTCACTTGAAAATATTTAAAAAAATGATGGCCTTTCTTCTAAATTTTATTGGCAAATATAAAATTGAGATTATGAATTAGAATACATATAAATACTGCTTTATTTCCATAGATTGCACAACTTTTTTTTATTTACTTATAAATTTGTGAATATATTGATGTTAGATGGGTTTATATATGTCATATAATAATGAGTATAATAATGACATACATGTCAACTTCTGTAGTCGTTGATAAAACTTTTTTGTAACTGGAAGCATCATTTATGTATAATCTAGAAATCCAGGATTTTAAAATTTCAAAAAATTTTTGTACTTAACATCAAACATTTATAATTTAAATATGTGTATAAGATTTTTAATTTCGGCAGTTATACTTTAAAAGGCTTAGTTAATTAGATTAATTTCAAAAAATTGTTTTTTACTCTCATTATAATTTTACTACCATTTCTTTTAAAATCTTTCTTAGTGACCATTCAAGTTAGCAAACATGTAATAAAAGAAGAAACGCTAGAATTTTTTTTTAAATGAGATAATATAAAATTGTAAAAATTTAAATAACTTGCAAAAAGATTAAATAATTAGCAATGTAGCTAATTACACATAAATTTTAAAATCCATGACTGTCTTCATTCACTGAGAAGTAATTAATTGCAAATTCACAGTTCTTATACACATTTCCAATCACTTCCTGTTGTCTTATAAAGGTTTCATAAATTAGCAAAAAATATTTTTATTGGCAAATCGTTTTCAGACACTTAAAATATGTTTGAAATGACTTGACGAATTTGCAACGATATTTCACCGATATTAAAAATTATGAGTGATAAAAATCAATGACGGAAATTATACCTTTCAATTTAAATCTCATGGAGGCTAATTGGTGAACTGAATCTATTAATAGATATTTACTGAAGCAACAATACATGCATCGGTGGAATTTTGACGGAAATCCCCTTTTTTAATACATTACAATTTTTTTACTTTTGTTTTTATAATTTTACATCGATATGTAAAATATATGTACAATGCAAAATAAAAATAAAAAACGAATTGCCCTGAATAACTTTTGACCTAATGTTTACGATCTTTACGTTGTGGGACTCAATCTTAAAGGTTTGAGAGGGTAATCTCAAATGTTCAGACGATATTTTAAGTTACGATATCAGAAGCAAAAAAGTGTTTTTTCTAATTAAACGCACCTTATTTTCGACGGTTTCGGATTTCTGACCGGTAAAGTATATGTACCGGTAAGTAATCTGGGTAACATGGTCCCTATAGTTTGGTCAGAGGAGGGTAAGTTTAGACTCCATAATGTTAATTTTATTTTTTACGCATTTTTGTGCAATTATTTCTTGAGCAAATTGAAAACTTTGACACAGAATTATAAAATACGTTTGACTAAAGATAATTCCAAAAAAATTATAATTTTTAGTAAATATTTATTATTTTATTTCATAATTATTGAACGAATTTTGAATTGTCATATAATTTTTAGATCATTTTAAAAATGAAACTTTACATAGCAAAATACGAAATTTGAACGAAAATATGTCGTATAGTTCCTGAGAAATCGTATTTGAAAGAAACCATAGTATTAAAATTCAATTTTCCAGAAATTATGCAACCAATTTCTCTCAAATTTTGTATTTTTTTTTCAAATTTTGTAAAATGAATATTCACTTTTCTTTATAGCCCCTTCCTCCTGATAGTCAAAATTGTATGAAATTTGGTTACAGGTGTTACTTTTGCAAGCTATATACACGCTATAAACTTTTGCATGCACTTAAAATTTATTTGTTTCTTAAGAAGAAGTTCATTTTCTGTAAGAAAAATAATTATATTCCGCTGTGTATAAGTGAACTGTTTCTTATAGTTTTTAAACATTTCTCTAAGATATTGTCATAAAACTTGACAAGATGAAAAACCGTCAAACTGTTCAAACTTATAAGGGTAACAAGCATTTTTTTTTACTTTTGCAGGGTGTACAGAAGGAGGGTCGTTTGATAAGTTGACAGCGGTCTCAAAAATATAAGAAACTGGTAGTAAATCTCGAAAAGATTTTTCAAAACCTCACGTCCAAATATTTAAAAAAAAATATTCCAGTTAGAAAATCTCTGTGAGAAATTTTTGTTCTCAGAATTATCAGTAATTGGAAAAGTAAAGTAGCAAGTATTCAAACATCTGAATAAAAATTTTACAACCAGTTTGTTAATCTTTTAAATATATCAATCATATTATTAATCGATGTTATTAACCCATTGTATACCGATGTTGCCTCTGAAGCACCAGCAAAATTCACCATAAAAATTTTAAATTTTTACACGTAAGCAAATTTAATAACTACATTATTTAAAGATTTTTAAAAATTATATAATAAATACTGCGTAATGTATTTTAAATAGTTTATTGCTTATATTAGTTTACACAGCGTTTTAAAGTACTTGGATTGAAAAGGTAAAAGTAAGATAGAAAGAAAAATGCTATCTGGATTCTTAATCTGCAGAAATTTGTGACCCCTAACACGTATAGTTTTTCCACTTTCTCTTTTGAAAAGGATTCTAAAAACATGTAAAAGATTTCGATAGCATTTTTCATTTGTCTTCACTCAAGCAGAAATTTGTGACCTCTAACGCTTATAGTTTTTTCACTTTCTCTTTTGAAAAGGATTCTAAAAACATATAAAAGATTTAAATAATATTTTTCTTTTCTTTCAATTGAGCATAAATTTGCGAACCCTAAGCGTTTAGTATTTTTTTTTCTTTTTTTTTTTTGCTTTCTCTTTTGAAATGCATTCTAAAAACATATTCGATAGTATTTTTCTTTTATTCTCACTCAAGCAGAAACTTGAGACCCTTAATGCGTTTAGTTTTTCTACTTCTCTTTTGAAACACATTATGAAAACGTATAACATACATGCCAACTTTTACGTTCTTCAGAGAAGCCTTTACTTAATGGTAACAAACTGAAACTTGAAGGAACACTGCGAGTACACTTTTAATTTATACGCAACCCACTCTTCGAAGAACGTAACGACATGTAGAAGATCTTCGAAACGTACGTGTAATTATTTAAATGTAATGTATTCAAAATCATTCAGAAGTTTATTAAAACAAGAAACAAGTTTTAAGACATAAAAGTGGCTATTAGATTAATCGTAAAAATAAAATCTTTCGGAAAATAAGGAAAATGTGGCAGATTTGATACAACAATGGTGGTGATTATCCTCTTCAGATCTGTAGTGGCACGTCTGAGCCGGGAAATTGTTTTAAGTTGGTAGCTAATGAATTTGGAAAAATATACAGACTTAGAAACATACGTTACTATTAAAATTATTTTCATTTCGTTTATCATGGTGTGATGTACATGCAAAGAGCAAAAATATAAACTGACCACTTTGAATAACTGTTCATCTAATTGTCGAATCTTCACGTTCTAGGAGTCAATCTTACTAGTTCGAAGGGTTGACCTCAAATATACTAATATATTAATGCAGACGATATTTTAAGTTACGAAATTAGACAACAAAATATTATTTTCTCTGAATAAACAAACATTGCTTTTGACTGATTTCAAATTCTGATTCCCAAAATATAGAGGTAGCCGCAATCTGGGAAATATGGTCCCTATAGTTTGACCAGGAGAGCGGTCTAAAGTTTGAACTCTTTAATTTTAATTTAATTCTTTGCGTATTTGGTCATATTTCGAGAAATTTTTATGCGAATTAAAAACTTTTCGCTTATAAATTATAAAATTCGTTTAGCAATACATAATTTCAAAAAATACATTTCAAAAGTTAAATTTCAGTGAGTTATTATAATTTTTCATTATTTTATTTCATAATAGTCGAAAAAATTTAATTGTAAAGTATATAATTTTTTACATCATTTCAGGAAATGTAATTTTACAAACTAAAATACAAAGTTTGTGCAAAATTCGGTCTTGAGAAAATGTGCAGTGCGTAAAATACAAAATGGAACACCCTGANTTTCAAATAATAAATTTCAAAAGATAAATTTCAGTGAGTTATTATAATTTTTCATTATTTTATTTCATAATAGTCGAAAAAATTGAGTTGTAAGGTATATAATTTTTTACATCATTTCAGGAAATGTAATTTTGCAAACTAAAATACAAAGTTTGTGCAAAATTCGGTCTTGAGAAATTGAATTTTAAAAATACGACTTTTTCAAAATATGATTTCTGAGAAACTATTTGATCTATTGTGTTCAAATTGTGTATTTTGTCATTTAATATGAAATTGATGTAAAAAAATATATACCTTATAATAAGTTTTCGTTCATTTTTAAATATAATAATAAAAATAATAAATATTTACTAAAATCTGTAATTTGCATCGAATTATCTTTGAATAAACTAATTTTATAATAAAGTGCAAAAATTTTTCAATTCGCTTTAAATGTTTCCGAGACAAGGTTTAGTACGAAAAAAGTAAAATTAACATTAAGGGGTCCAAACCTCGGATATTTCTCTTGGTCAAACTATCGGGACCCTATTTTCTACATTGCGTGAAACCTCCATATTTTGGGGGTCAGAAATCGGAATCCATCGAGAAAAAAAAAGGCATGTTTATTCCGAAAAAGTGCGTCTTTGTATCTGATTTCGTAACTTAATATCTTCTGCACTAATTAATTAGCATATTTGAGGTCACCCCTTTGAACATTAAGATTGAGTTCTAGATTTGAAGATCCGATCATTAGATCAAAAGTTATTCACGGTGTTCCATTTTGTATTTTACGCACTGCACATTTTAATTAAAAAAAGTAGAATTTAACCAGCATAGAACCAAATATAGCATTTATTTATTTAAACTATTACAGGAGAATTTGATATACACAGTTTATTATCTGTAAACTTTTCTACCATTTAATGGCTGTGCTGGTCTATAATTATTTAAAAGGTGGCATTTATCAGCATCTGGTGTACCTTCTTTCACTGAATACAAGGAAAAAAGCTGATTCATCTGAAAATAAAAAATAGAACATTTATATTGACTGAAGTTTTATAACATAATTGGTAATGCGTCATTGGTTCGGATTTTTTCAAACATGTTTGCACTAGTGATTTAAAAACTAATACATTTAAAATTAGTTTAAAACTTAGAAAAGTACTTTTTTAATCAACTTTCAACCAAGCATTATCCAAAAACATTTAATAAAAAATATGAGACCAAATTTTTTTTTCTGTATTGAGTTCGAAATTTAAGAGTGGATTCATTTTTTTTTCTTATATTTCTAAATATATTGCAATAGTTTTCCTACTTTCTTTTATGCCAATTCCTTATTAAGCAGTTTTCGCGATTTTAAACTTGAAATTCTTTTAGTTGTAAAAATAAAATTATTGAATTCATTTTGGAGCTATGTTTTAATTATATGAATAAAATTCAATTAATTTTTAAAATATTCTATGTAAAATGAGTTGTTGGAAAATGAATCTTTTTAATTAGGAACAAAAACGTATCCGACTGTCCACTTCTCTAGTAAAATTTCAATATATTTCTTATATGTTGGCAATGAGTGGAAGTTGTATGATATATTTCTATGAAAATAAAAATAAATCTCTTTGCGCTAACCAACTACTTCGCTTTTTGAAAAATGTTTTACAGGGTGAAAAACAATCAAAAACAAAAGCTTTCGGAATTTCTGATTAATTAGCTAACAGTTTTAAAACCTCACGGCGTAGGAACTTTATTAAAGTGGCTTTTTATATGAACTTTTGAATCATTCAAATATTCTGGTGTGAAAAGATTTAAATCAGTTTTTCTGAACAAGGAATTATTCATTGAAACATCAATATTTTAAGTTTTTTTTGCCAGTAATTTTTAATGTTTCATATTTTCTCCATTCTTTTGAGAGTTTAGCATAAACCTATTAATTTTAGTGTTTTACAATAACCCCAATTTAATTATATGTTTCACAATTAAACCATTATTTTAAATATTTCACAACAGTCTTATTAATTTGAGAGTTGAAAACTAGTCAGATTTTGTTAAGTGTATGTCCCAACGCCCCTTAAATAAATCTTGCATTCTCTGTAAATTAACTTTAACTTAATGACAAATGCAAGGTTTTTACGAGCCTCAATTCTTTTTTAAAGAAAATTTTTTTTTTTACAAAATAACGCATTGTGGTTGCAAAATATGATAGAAGTTGGTCTCCATTTTGTTAATAAGATTAAGACCTTTGAGGGAGAATTTATATGAAACATATTTTTTTTCATTATTTTGTATTTATTTAGCTAAAATAAGTGATGAATATTACAATTAACATTTTGATAATTTATAATTCTGAAGTACGGCATGAAACACCGGTGTCTTCTTCTGCATAAAAAGTAAAATTTTCCCAACATGGCACACTTTCAAGGAATATTTTTTAAATTTGTGCTTGTATGCAGTTATTTAGATAGAAGAAAAACTATTCATTATTGAAATTTCTCTTACAACTTACAAAATCAATTTTTTTACATTTTTTAAATATACATATGAAAATCAAACTGCATTTCGGATTTTATATTTGATGCAAATTCAATCCCGTAATCTAAAAGTTTCTTTACATACTATTAGTATGTTTTTTTGCAATTGTAAAATACTAAAATATATATATTTGCTTGCAACTATAGCTGTAGAAAAAACCTATGTAAGAGGCACCGGTGTTCCATTTGAGTCAAAAGGTAAACTTTTTCTCATATCCAGGGGAACCCAGTATGTGCTTTCATCCTCAATTCTTATAATCATTAACGTAAATAACTAACTTTTTCAAACTAACACATTTTTCAAAGACCAGAATGCAATACACATAAAATTATAAATCTCTTCGCATCTGTTAACGACATTCATTTGCAGTCATTTAGATCTAAGAGAAACAGCTATTCATCATTGTAGTCAATGAATCAATAGAAAATCAATGTTTGATAAATTTACTAGTATGAGTGGAAAAAAAATTAAAACTTTATTTTGGGGGGGGGGATTTTTAGTTTTTAGACAAATATAATTTTGATAATTAAGCAGATTTTTTTAGAAACTGTTAGCTTTTTTTGTAATTAATCAATACCAAAATATATTTTTGCTTGTAATTAGACCGTCAGAAAAAATATAAAAGAGACGCAAAATGTTCTATCTGCATCAAAGGGATAATTTTTCTAATACAAAAAGGAACACTTTCATGTGCTACTTCATCATAAATTCTTAAATTCATTTGCTTAAATAATTTACCACAAAAATAGATCTCAGAGATCTGAAGGAATCCTGATATTAGATGAATCAAAATTGAAATGAATCAGTACTTACTTGGTTTCTGTTTACTGTTTTAGGCTTTCTGCATTCCATCCACGTGAGTCCTTCATCACATGGTGGAAAACTTAAGGAGCCCTCATATCTATAGAATGGACAATTATTGTCAATCAGATCCCCCAGATAAATCTTGCCCTGTCTATGCGAATTTCTATTGGACAGTTGAATTTCTCCTTCGAATTTTTGTCCTTCATATTGAAATGCTTCCTTGACGGACAAAATGTTGTATAGTGCTGAGTTCAGTCGACGTCTTTCCTATTTATTGAGAAAGTATGATTAAGTTTCTTTTTGAAAAGGTATATTTAAATATAATTCTTCATTAATATATAGGTTTATTTCAAGTCTTTCTAAGGGTCATTATTTTACATGGTTGTAGTACAATAACTGATTTGGCACAAAGATCCATTAATAGTGACCATGACATTAGCTTTCCTAGACGATTTTTAATGATGCAATATTAAAACCTATGGCAACAAGCATAGATGGGTGATTCTCACGAAATATGACAATTTACAGCCACTTGCACCAAAATCTTATACAAAACTACTAAAAGAACTTTTTTTTAAAATTTAATAAAAAGCATTGCTGTTAGCATTTTAAAATAACCTAGTACTAGCATCGACTATTTTGTATATTTAAAAAATTTAATTGAACTTCAAAATTTCATGTTTCTGGCAAGTCACAAACAATGTTTCCAATAATAACTAGCTTCAAAACTTCCCAGAAATATTTCAATATCTAATTTTTTTATCTCAACCGGTGTAAGAATTTCTAGAATATACGCAGAAGGTATTATTTACAAAAACTTTGGTTGAAATAATTTTTTCTGTCAATAATTTGTTTGTCACAAGAAAATCTGTCATTTTCCTGTCTACTTTTATTTAGTGCTTTATAACCAAAATAGATAGCGCCAGTAATCAATATCTTATGTTAATAGATTGATTAGATACCCTCCTCTCTGAACGTGCCTTGTTGCATGAAAAAAGAGCAAACTTTCTGGTTCAAAATCACTTCAAAAATTTTTTCAAGATGAGTAGGTTTTTGTGTTGTTATATTCCTGGCTTCCTTAAATCATTAATAACATAAACTACATAGATTTATCTGAGTTATTTTAAGAAATTTTGTTGTTTTCTGCAGAATATAAACGTCTTAGGTCAAAATATTAAAATAAAGTAAAGTTGTATGCTATAAAATGGCGAATTTGTCATTATCCTAGCTGTTATTTTCCTGGCTTATGAAAGCCAGGACATTTAAGTGTTACCAGAATTTTTTTTTTTACTGCTAATACTGTAAAGAGGGAAATCAAATATTAGCCTAATACCAAGTTTATGTATGATTGTAATAAGATTGAATGTAATCAAAGTTATTTATTTACTTAATGATTGATTATTTTACACAATTTTATTCTGTACATATCAGCAACAAAAAATTTTTTGATTCATTCTACAGTAGATAAAAGAATTCATTTCAGTTATTCATGGTTCATCTAACATAAAGGCTTAGGTTTTGTTACTTACTAATAGCTTAAAATGACTGTTTTTTCAATCTTCTAAGCTAATGGTAGAATGGTAGAAATCACATAAATCTCGGTGCGCTGCCGCGAAGCGGCATTAACCGATTCATCTGTAGTAATAAATCGATGATGAGGAGTAGTGAGGAGGAATGGAGATGGGAGGAAGAGGTGGTGCTTAGCACCGAAAAATCGAGAGGGGGTTCGTGTGAGTCGGCTGGGGCTGAGTGTATTTCGTGTGCTAGGGCAGCACCATATTCCTAAAGTAGACGGCAGTGATTGGGCTGAATTTAGTGNGGAGGAATGGAGATGGGAGGAAGAGGGGGTGCTTAGCACCAAAAAATCGAGAGGGGGTTCGTGTGAGTCGGCTGGGGCTGAGTGTATTTCGTGTGCTAGGACAGCACCATATCCCTAAGGAAGAAGGCAGTGATTGGGCTGAATTTAGTGTTGTCGTCAATTAGTTCAATATCTAGGAGTGAGGAGTGAGTTAAAATTGCTGGTAGTACAGGTTTTTGCTTCATCGTAGAAATTTTTATTAAAATTTTTTATATAGACGTTGATGTCATCAATTTTAAGATCCCTTTTTATACTATTATTGCTAATGCATTTAGGTGCGCCGACGAGTCTTCTAATAATCTTTCCTTCTGCCATAGAGAGTTTACTTTTTAAATGATCACTTAGAGTTTATTTTTTAAATGATCACCCTTACCAGACTGGAAAACAATTATTATTAATATACTACCACTATTATATTTTTCTGAGAATCGTGTGAAATTTAATAACATTCATAAACTAACAGTATCTTTACCATAATGTTTCCACGATAGCCTCGTTGGGCCATTAATTCATTTAATCACATTATCTGAAAAATATAAGTTCATAAGTGACTACTAATATACGCAGTAAACATATACATAAATAATATTCCCTATTAGAAACGAGTGATTACGAATAAAAGTGGTTTAAAATCGCAATTAAGATGCACGTTAAGCAGTTTGCTCCGACATACAAGACTTGCTTTGAATTTGCAGTTTAAAAATTGGTGCTGTGACCTACAACTACTTAAGGAAGTGTATCATACTTCTGCCAATTAGACAAACTTTAATAAGATTTTTTGAGTGAAAAATAATAAAAGTACTCCGATTGTTCACCATATCCTTATACCTATGTTAACAACTCCTTCTTTCATCATCAGGAATCTTGTTAGCTAAAATACAGACTTCTAAACCTACGCCTCGTACAACTGAAAGCCTCCACACGTTGTTTTGTAGGTAGTCCGATCAGACCATTATGAAAATAAACCAGTTTAAAAAAGAGCCATTTAATAGAAAATCTAGTAAAAATAAAGAAAGTGGTAGCAAATATATGTCTAAAAATTTGTTTAATTTATGAATATGATTGGTTTGTTTTATTTACTTGTCTACCACTACAGATTATATTCTCAAATATGTATGGTAAATACATACTTGCCAACTTTTACGCATTTGGAGTAAAATTTTATTTTTATATTTAAAGTGGTAGTAAATATATACTATTTTTTTTTTTATAAAATAAATTTTTAAGGGATTTTCATAACCACTATTCTTAAGAAAACTAAGCATATATATTAATATGTGTTACTATCATGGTAGGCAGCTTAAGCTTTTTCAAATACAACGTATTTTTTTGCTTAAAATTGAAATTTTTATTCCATTTAAATACCACTGGGAAAAATCATAATGGAAGGGATTAAAAGTTGGCAGGTATGTAAATATCTCTCAGTCACTTTAAAAATAAAATTTAGGTTCATGCGCACAATAGGTTCACTTTTTTAAATAGTCTGCGCTGACTACCTATAGGAAACCGTGTGGTGACTTTCTGATGTAGGAGGTGATGACTAAACAGACCGTTAATTTAAGACTTCTATAAAAGTCAAAGGAGCTTCAAAGAACTTTAGAATCGTTGATTAGAATTTTTTGTTATAAATGAGCTGGGAATGTTTTTTCATGGGGATACTGACAACCAATTCTAAAGATAGTGAATAAAAAATAATTATGCATACCTCAAGGAATGCTACAACTGAAACTGATTTTCCATTGTTCTGATGAATTAAGTTAGCCTGTTTTAAAAAGGAGAAAAAAGGGTTAGAAAATGATCAGAATATGTAAATGAAGTAATGAAAATTAATTAATATCAAGCATCACTAGGGAAATTATGTTTAGGCCTTCAACTCAATCATTTCTATGTGGGATGTCCCTCTAAAGCTGCGTTAATCATAATCTTATAATAATAAGTTTATTAAAATGATAATAATTACAATTCCAGTGGATAATTTGCACTCTTCTAATTTGCACTTAAAATTCGTAATACTTTCCCCTCCCTCATATGTAGTAGCTATCTTTTGCTTTTTTTACGAAAATTTTTTCCCATTAAAAGTAAAATAAAAATTTCAGTGATAAATTTAAGGAAATATCTTTTAGATTTACTCTTTAGCTCACATTTAAAAAAAATAACAGTCAGATTTTTTAAATATACGTTTAAATATATTATGGTTATTATTTTTTTTTAAATCATATTTATTAAGTAATGAATGAAGTAACAAAAAAGCGTACCTCCGACGCAACTTTAAGTATAATATCTTTGGAAAAACTAAAAAGTTGATAGCATAGTGCTTAAAAGAAGGGAGAAGGATTTTAGCCCTTTTTTTTGCACATAAGTAACGCAATGCCATGTCATGGTTAACACGTTGAATGCAACTCTAATTTTACATAGCTTGCCCGTCTAGCCAAACGGTAAATAACTACAAACTAAATTTGCCAATATTGCACAGATTTTGCTAGTTTTTTAAAAGGTTCAGCATGACTGAGCTTATACCGCTACCGATATAAATTATGTGTTACGATGTTCCTAGCCCGTAGGGCTATCTACACCTTCATCTAAGATAGAACGGAGAATAAGGGAAGAGAGGGGATCAGAGTGGTTACGCAAGCGTATACGTATAAAATAAATTAGTGATTAAACAATTCATTGTGCATGTTTGCACAGTCTAAGACTTAGCTAACAAAAGTGGTGAGTAAGATAAGCCTACGAATTTCTTAGAAATAGTGCTGGATAAAAATCTATTAAATTGAATTTATTAAGCCAAAAATCACAATTAATAAACTCTTACTCGAAAATATTTATTCGCTGTCCGAAGCAAGTTGGCATCTCTGTGTAAATAAATAAAAGTATTTTTGTGTGTTCTATATTGCATCAATTTCTTCAAACCATTTCAGAGATGCCAACTTGCTCCGGACACCAAATATACATTTTAAAGTGGTAGTTTATCAATTGTGATTCTTGATTTAATAAATTCTATTTAGTAGATTTTTATCCACCACTATTTCTAAATAATTCGTAGGCTTATATAATTCACCTTTTAAAAAGCATGCAAAAATAGTCAAATATATGCAAAATTTACTTTGTAGTTATTTACCATTTTTTTGGCTTGTCCGGAGCAGTTGGCATCTCTGCCATTTTAGTAACGATAATGATATAAAAAAGTTAAAAATTTTACTCGAATAAAGCGTTTCCAATAATTTTGGTTTCTCCGGTGGCACCCGTGGCGCAATGATCAAACCATCACTTCCTATATCAGAAAGCCTCCGCACGGTCATGGGTGAAAGCGAGACGGAAAAGAAGAAAAGCTGGTAGTAAACCCATTTCAGTTTTAACATGTTTTCGGGAGGAGTTAAACTATTCTCTTTTTCAATTATTCAGCTATATCTACTTTCTTTCATCTATGCTAAAATTGTAAAAAAATTACGGTAGTTACAGAAATTTAATGTTTCTTGAAAAAAATGCTACAATGAAATGCTTTTTTCCGTCTCGCTATATATAGGCTTTCAGCCCTGCACACGGTTTCTTNAAAGGGGGGTAGACTAATAAAATGTACGTACTGTAAGGGGGGGGGGAGTAAGACCTTATGTACGGTAATGTACGAAGGGGGGGGGAGGGGTTTGAAATTTCTCCATTTTTGTGTACGTACTTTTTGAACGGCCCCTAATGTCGTGCTATATCTTTTAAAAAGCATGCAAAAATAGTCAAATATATGCAAAATTTACTTTGTAGTTATTTACCATTTTTTTAATTATTTTGGCTTGTTCTTAGCAGTTGGCATCTCTGCCATTTTAGTAACGATAATGATATAAAAAAGTTAAAAATTTTATTCGAATTATGTGTTTCCAATAATTTTGGCTTCTCCGGTCACCGGTGGCACCCGTGGCGCAATGATCAAACCATCACCTCCTATATCAGAAAGCCTCCACACGGTCATGGGTGAAAGCGAGACGGAAAAGAGGAAAAGCTGGTAGTAAACCCATTTCAGTTTTAACATGTTTTCGGGAGGAGTTAAACTATTTTCTTTTTCAATTATTCAGCTAAATCTACTTTTCTATAAAGAAAGAAGCTGTCTTTCATCTATGCTAAAATTGTAAAAAAATTATGGTAGTTACAGAAATTTAATGTTTCTTGAAAAAAATGCTACAATGAAATGCTTTTTTCCGTCTCGCTATATATAGGCTTTCCGCCCTGCACACGGTTTCTTATAGGTAGTCTGCGCAGATTATTTAAAAAGCGAACCACTTGTGCGCAGGAACCCAAAACCTTTTATAAAAGTACTTGAGAGAAATTTATCATATATATTTGAGAATTGAATCTGTAGTGGTTGACAAGTAAATAAATCGAATCAATTATATTCATAAATTAAAAAAAATGTTAGGCATATATTTGCTTCCACTTTCTAATTTTTAATAGATATATCATATAAAATGGTTCTTTCATTAATTGACTTATCTTCATAGTGGTCTGATCGAACTACCTACAAAAAATCGTGTGGAGGCTTTCAGTTATAGGAGGCGTTGATCAAACTCAGTGCCGGTGACCCCCATGGCATTCAAAGTGTTAATATATTCGATAGCGGAAGACAAACCAGCTTAAGGCCACAGGTGTCGAGTAACTGAATATTTATTTCTTAAAGCTTACCGAAATCGTAAACTTTCTACCATTTATCGAGTCTTCTGATCCTTTGTGTGTTTCGTTACCCCAATGGAAAGCGACGTGCAACAATGTAAACTTCTCACCATCAACCATGACTGATCTTTCAACTCCATCTTGAGGCCATACTAGAACTGGAAAACACAGTATTTAATAACAATTCAAAAACAATTTATAATTAGTATATTTTTAAATTGACTACATGCGCTCTATATACAATCGCCTGTCAGATTTCTATTAATGTAACTGTTGCTGTCAATTTCATTTGTTAAAATACATAATCTATGGCCTCTTTAATCACTACACTTTTTTGCTAAGGATTTTAACAGATGTACAACATGTGGTCTGATGTTTCTTCCGGGGTCGTTAAATTTAGCAAAACTTTTGTTTAATCACGTCAACAAATGTTTGTAGGCATTATAAGAAAAAAATCACTGCGAAACTAAATCGTGTTGCATGCAGCACCGGCTCACAATGATGTAACTGTTGAAATTAATGAAAAATTTTAAAATGCATAATCTATGGCCTCTTGCATACCTGCCAACTTTATGGTTCTTTGCGAAGGAATTTTACCATGGGTAGGGCATGTGGTCAGTTATTTCATCCATGGTCGTTAAATTTCGAAGTAATTTGGTTGTCGGCATCATAAGAAATCGCCACGGCGAGACTAAATCCTTTTGCCGACACTAAAACTCATCATTACCTCATTGATTTGTTTTTCTACATGCTTCAGAATTAGTAATATAAATTACTTATTATTGGTCAAATGATCAAAAATTTTTTTATCGTACTTGATAAACTGTTAGTGAAATATTTAATAGTTGCAATAATTTATTAATAGTTTGTTAGTAAGCGTAATGTTGTTATTTGTTATAACTTGCTATTTTAAATGTCACGAGGGCATGCCCATCTTGCTAGTCAATTGCCTTGCTCTTATTTGACAAGAGAACACCGCTATGGTGAAAGGTATCACAAAACCCCCGGGTGTATGATAGCACCACTCATTCGAGTGGTGCTATCATACACCCGAAGAAAATTTCTGAATTTTCACCATGTACTACTTAGCTACTGAACACAGAGACTTTCAATTCCCCAGATTTTATGAACACATTTATCGTACATACTATTTGGGTCTTACAAGAGGTTTCAAGAATAAAACCCTGGCCTCTCCTGTGAAACATAATTTTCTCCGCAGTCCGATGATTCAATCCTCTGGCTACCATAGCCCGAACATAGCTCCGCATTTTTTGTCGACCCCGATAATCTTTCACACAATTCATTAAAGAAATATTAAGAAATTACTAACTAATTTTAAGAAGGCGCTTTTGAAAAGAGCCTAAAAGCTTGGAACTATCTGTATATTATAATGGAAAACTGGATATAACGAAAATACGTCATAGACTCTTTCTGAAAAATGCAAATCTTTATAGAGTCAAAACAGAAAGTAAAACTTACTCGCGGAGCCAATGTTCTCTATCGTGACGTTGCCGATAGGTTCATCGTAGCCATGAAGTTCAAGTCTCTGACGCTCTCCACTCTTCACAGTTTCTCTCGTTATTATGTTAATGGGAGATTGAGATGTTCCATTACAATTTGGATACTTCTCACCCCAATGCAGTGGACCTAATGGAAGGAACTCAAATAATTATGTAAAAATGTAGGCATAATATGGTGCATTAGATTTGTTCTTGTTTTCGTTTTAGTTTATGCTTAAATGAATGAGATTATTCACGAGTATATATAACGAATACTTTAAGAGTTTCGAAAAGTATTATCAACCATAAATATATTACTCTGGATGAGCACTTAGGGACACTTTTTTGTGTTATCTATGGTTTATGTTAGCAGGTTTTCTCAGAACATAGGGTTTATCTTAACACATTTTCTGATGTGCTTTTTCATGAAGTGAATGAAACAAAATTCAAGTAAATTGTATTAAAAGCTGTTATGTAATACTGTGTTTCTTCTTAATAAGTGCAGGTCAAAAATAGTTCTTTTTATACAAAAGAGGCAAATTGCTAGTATTAGTTCGTTTAACTAGTGCTTAGTCTTAATTGATACAGCTGAAAGATACATAGGAAGCAATACTTCACTTTTCTCTACAGCAATGTAATATGAATAAAAAAATGCAAGTACAGCATTTTGTACACAAAAAATCCTTATAACTGCTCAATTATTCATTTTATCGATTCCTGTTTTGTCTCATTCAAACCGACATAAAAAATGCTTAGGAAACAAATTCCAAAGTTGTACAGATAGTAATGTCAGATGCCTAAGTATGCACAACTTAAAATTTGTACTTTTTGTACACAATCTCATTAAATCAATCTGAATGAAATATGCCGGAAAGAGTGCCTAACTCGTCTTTTTTTTTAAAAAAAATTCACTACTGTCCGTAAATAACACCATTTCTTTCAAAAATGGGAAAGCGTACAGAGATGAGTAAGGAAGTTTTCTAGCATCATTTATAGTGACATCACAAAGAATTCAGTTAAAAAAATATCTTGTCGATTAAATTTTTCCGCAGATTCATCCTTCTTTTTTTGGTAGAATTAATGAACTAATAAAAATGTCAAACACTCTCGAAATATTAAATTACAAAAATCCTTACGTATATTTTTGAAATTATCAATATCAAGGCATTATTTTAAATATCTAGTAAACACATGCAGTTATGGTCCAGCCTAATGGTCCAGCCTTACAGTGCAGTTTCTTTCTTAAAACATTGTGGTTGGACAGTATTCTCAATAGTATCATTTGTCTTATAGGAGAACCAAAACAATTTCACCCACAGTAACTTAACAATTTTTGAGCTATTTGAGTAAGATTATTCAAGTATTTAAGTAACCGAGACTAAATAAATAAATCATCAATGCCAGTGAAATAATTGGAGCTACAAGGAATTGAAAAAAATTAATAATAGAATAAAATGTTGGATTAAGCAATGTCTTACCATTAGGTAAATTTAAATTGTAAGTCCAATCTTTGTCTTTGTCAGCAGGGCAGTCTTCGGCTGATCCGATTGCAAAACCTGTAATATATTGATTTGCTTTTTTGTATATTTTTTAACAATGCAGCATCAAATAATTACTTTGCTTATAAAGGAATTTTTAAAAAGTGACACTTAGTAATTTTTGAGTAAGATTCCAAACATCACGAAAAATAAAAAATTGTTGCAGATCTAATGTGCTTTATAAAACTTATGAAACGAATGAAACTACATAATACACTCGTTATTACCACAGCATTATTATAAGGAAAAATGCACAATAACTTATATTTTAGTTTATCTTGCCATGCCTTTTTATAACTGAAACAAACTATTATGAATTCCCTGCCTCAATGATAAATCACTGTCAGTAATTTTTAAGTACTTTATAAACAATTTAATCAATTCAGAATTAAGCTTAATAGTCCCATTAATTAAAGCTTTTAAACCATTGTCAATACTGCCTACTAGTACGCATTCTGCAAAATGTCATAGAGTAGTAAATAGGTAAAATCTAAAGCATTTAAAGACTTGGTAATAATGCCAGCACTTAAAAAGCCTCACAACGAGGCAAGAGAAACAAAGAGGTAGATGAACTTTTGAATCATTTAGATGTAGGGATGTGAAAGTTTTTTTTTAACATGTTGAGTACCGCGTCAGTCATCGGTGACTGACACTGAAATTACATATATTCCGCGGCAACCACCGGTGGCTGGCACTGAAATCACATTTAGGCCACGTCAACCACCGGTGGCTGACACTGAAATTACATTTAGGCTGCGTCTGCCACCGCCTCCTATAACTGAAAGCCTCCACACGGTTTCTTATAGGTAGTCCGATCAGACCACTATGAAGGATATCCACTTACCGAACGAGTCATTTAATACAGCATATAGTTAAAATAAGAAAGTGGTAACAAATATATAACTAAAAAATTTATTTTATTTATGAATATTATTAGTTTGCCTTATTCACTTGTCAACCACTACAGATTCAATTCTCAAATATATAAGATAAATTTCTCTCAATTACTTTTATAAAAGGTTTTGGGTTCATGCGCACAACTGGTTCACTTTTTAAACAGTCTGCGCGGACTACTTATAAAAGACCGTGTGGATGCTTCTTGATGTAGGAGGTGATGGCTGACAGCGTACAACATGATATAGAACTATAAAATTTACACTCTTTCAGAGATGCCAACTTGCTCCGGACAGCAAATGTATATTTTAAAGTGGTAGTTTATAAATTGTGATTCGTGGTTTTATAAATTCAATTTAGTAGATTTTTATCCACCACTATTTCTAAATAATTCGTAGGCTTATATAATTCACAATTTTACGGTACTTTAGTCATGCTATACCTATTAAACAGCAAGCAGAAATAGTCAAATATTTGCAAAATTTACTTTGTAGTTATTTAGCGCTTTATTAATTATTTTGGCGTGTCCGGAGCAGTTGGCATCTCTGCTCTTTTAAGGAATTGCAGAAAATTTATACAAAATTTACTTAATTATTGTGATTCTTGGTTTAATAAATTCAATTTAGAAGATTTTTATCCACCACTATTTTTAAATAATTCGTGGGCTTATATAATTTACCACTTTTGTTGGATATGTCATGGTAAACCTTCTAAAAACTAGCAAAATCAGTCTAATATTTGCAAATTTAGTATGTAGTTATTTACAGTTGTGGCCTAACGGGCAAGACATGTAAAATTATCGTGGCGCTCAACGTGTTAACAAAGAATCTTACAATAAAAGCGAGCTGCTAACTACTACGCTTTTATCAAAATATTTTATTGAGTGGTAGACAATTAAAAGTTAAAGCTTTGCCACGAGAGTATTGCATAACAAAGAGGCTTTTTATATAAACTTCCGAATCATTTGCAAGTAGTGAGGTGATAAATAAAGTTATATCAAATTCATAATAAAAGAACAATACATAAAAGCATCAACTTAGCTTACACTCGTAGAAATTTTTCCAAAAAGCTTAGAAAGTTGGCAGGCCTGCATAAAACATGAAATTATTAGCGCCACTTGTAATAACTTGACGTAGGGAAACCAAAAACAAATAGTTCATAACAACGTATGATGAAATTAATTTTTGATTGAATATTTCTCAAATCTTATGAGAAATTATTTCGTTTGGATTTAGAGCGCCAACCGGTAATCTGAGGTAAAAATTGACAGCCATGTCTTACAACGTATATACCCTAATTTTAGTACGGATCAAAATAGAACATGCACGCGTACGCAGGGTTCGAACGATTTTTATAAAATATAAAAAGCAAAAGGAATATTGTAATAAAAAGAAAAAAGTTTTTTTTTCAATTGTATAATCTATTATATATATATGTATAATCTATAATATATATGCATAATCTATATATAGGATAATCTTTAAAACTAAAATTTTAAAATTACAGAAAAAAATTGTTTTAAATGCAATGTGACATCGATGATTTAAATATCTATACTTTCGATACTTAAATTATTAATAGCATAAAATTAATAATTGAGATCTATAATTTAGGCAGTTATACTTTAAAATAATTCTTAAAATGCATAAATAATAATAATGCATAAATTAGAATAATTTTAAAAGGAAAAAAAAACACGCAAAAACACAAGAAAAAAGAATTCGTGATTTTTTTTTAATTAAACAAAAATATTGAAAAATATAAAAAAGCATAAAAAGAAATAACTTACAAAAAAAGTAAATAACTAATAATAATGCTAACTGTGCAGAAATTTTATAATCCATGGTGTTCTCGTTCACTGAGAATCAAATGCAAGGCTTTATTGCAAATTCACAGTTCTTATACGCCATTCCTTTCACTTCCTGTTACCTAATAAATGTTACACAAGTTATAAAATAGTTTCATTGGCAAATAAGTGTTAATTTACTTTAAACATTTGGAATATGTTTGAAATTACTTGACGAATTGAATACTCTCTGATTTTAATGATTATGATTGACAAAAGTCAATGACGAAAATTATAGATGGTGACATAGCACTTTTAGGGAAAATCTCATCGAGGCTAATTGGCGAAGAATATTGACTATTTATAGAAGAATTGGCTATTTATGAAAGTTTACTGAGTCAGCAATGGTTGTCTTGTGGTTCCAGCTGGGTGCTTGGGCCGCGAAGTGGCCCCTATCCCATCCATCGTGAAAAATTTACACTTTGCATGCATTCATTAACCTCTTTGAGACGGGCGAGTCATGTATGCAATCTCAGGATGTCGATAATCAGGATAAAAAGATAAAACTTGTAGCCAAACTATTTTTAAAGAAGTTTATTTGTGGGCGGGGTAATAATAGTTTGCTTTATTAATTCACCTCTTCTTAATTCGAATTGTATAGTTACACTTTTTGCCCATTAGTATTGGATGTGTTAAATTGGATGTGTTTAAAGTAAAAGCAAAAATAAGTCTGTTAAATTAGCTATGCCCAAACTTAAGCCACCACTATTATTTTTTACTATCCTGATTCATACATTACATTACATTACATATTTTATATTATATGGGATAAGGGTCATCTAGGCCTCAGATGCCTAGTTCTACAACAACGAACGGACGAACATTACATTATTACGATTACATTTACGACTTGCCCGTCCAGAAAAGGTTAAGGTTAGCAGTCGTTGCGGTTGCTATTAACCCCTTGGGGACGGGTGATTTAGAAAAGCATTCGTACAAAATCAGGATCAGGACGTAATTAAATAAAATACGGTAACTTAAATGTAGTCGTTTCTAATTTGACAGACTTACCTTGCTTTTACTTTAATTATTGTTAGTTTAATCATATATATAATCAATGTTAATTCAAGGTATAACTAAATAGTTTTATTTTGAACAAAGTAATGGTGAATTAAATAAATCAAACAATTATAACTCCGCCCACAAATAAACTGCTAAACAATTACTTTGATTACCAGTTTTATCTTTTTACCTTGGTTGATGCGGTTTTATGCTGGCACTTATTTGTGACAGTCGGCGCGAAAGGGTTAAAAGATTCAAGAACTTTGCTTGAATAGAATCTGCACGCACCTTGCAAGGATGTCACAGGCGACTAAAAATTTAAAAAGTGGTAGAAATTCATTTCATTTTTGTTTATTTATTATTTCTTTAACTATCCAATCGTAACTAACACGTTTACTTACAATTCAAGTTATTAATATTCAATTGAAAAACATTTGCAGTCATCTTCAATAGGAATCAGAATAAAATATGCTAGAAAAAGCTTTTTAATCCCTTCTCATACCTGCCAACTTACACTCTTTCCGAGAATGGATTTTCAGAGTGGTTGTGAAACAATAAACGAAAAACAATCTGACTCAAAAATATATTTATATTTTGATCCCGTTGAACTTCGCTTGCGCAAGGATTATTATGCTTTCGTATATTTATTGTAATTATTTATATGTAGTGGTGGTCAAACTCATTTATAATTATCATTATACTTCAAAAAGTTAATTGGAATAACCTGAGTACTGCTACCACTTTAAATAAGAAAATACGGAAGAGTTGGCAGGTATGCCTTCTGATAAAATTTTTAATTTTATTAGTCACCACTTTCTGCCTTTTTAGTCTCCCGTAGCCAGTGATGGGCATCATTCAAGGAAATTTTATTCATGACTAAATTTAGTCAGAATAAATTTATTCTGAATGATTATTCACATGCAAATTTAGTCATTGTTCATCATTCATTATGAAAATTTATGCACATTTTTGAATAATGATTGATAAATAAATTCATTAGTCGCAACTAATTTTTCTGTTTAAAATTTTGAGTAGCCAAAAAAATGCAAGCATTATATTTTTTTCATTGCAAGCTGCGCGTCGATTACAGTAATCGATTACAAATGTAATTAATTGCAGATAATGATTGCTTAGTAATTAACTACTTGAAATGATCATGACTGATTAGTAATTAACTACTTGCAATGATCATGATTACAAGTAATCACAATAACAAATTATTATCATTTCTCGTATACAAGTGGTTATGATTATTTATAATCACAACAAAAAGTTATAACAGATAATCAGAATTACAAATAATCAAGCCCTGGGATTGCAGGAAGTCGTGACAACTTGTAATCATAAAGTAAGATTACAAGAAATCATAACTACAATTTATCATAATCTAACAATTACTGATAATCTTAAATTCAAGTAATTGTGATATATGTGATTACAACACGATTAGATTCAAATGGGCTTGATTGCATTGTAATAGAGATTGTAGGTAATTGAATACTTAGAATTACATACGAAAATAAGTACAAGAATATACAAATAAGATTATATTGTGATTACTTGTAATCACAATATAATCTTATTCGTGTATTTTTGTATACACGAATAGGAGTACAATAAGAAACGATTACGAGTGATTATGATTGAGTAATCAAAATATATAACTTATAATCATGAGTGCAAGTACTTGTGAGTACATGTAATTAAAATATATGATTACAAGTAATTACGATTGCATACTATATGCTTATTCACTTTGTATGTATGTATTCTATATGCATGTTTGTTTGTGTTGTCATATTTTTCTATACGTAGAATGAAGGTACGTATATAAATACAATTTATTAATGTACGAGCAATGCATGTAAGTTAGTATGTATGTAGACGTACATATGTATATGTAACATACGTACAGTCGCTCATACATAGATATATTTTAAACTCATTCAATATTTGTACGTATGCATGAACATGTATGTACGCACGTATGCATATAAGATATATGCATGAATTTATAGATTTAAATACAATGTACGGATGTATCAACAAACGTCTTTTGTACATACATTATACGTACATAATTTTGCATATAATATACATGTAAGCATGTATTTAACTACTATGTACGTGTGTAGAGACAATATACATACCCTCCAACTGCTACGGAATTCCCGTAGTTTTAGAAATCTTCTTTTCGGACGGCAGCAAAATTAATGTCTTAGTATTTTAAAAAAATTAATTTTAGCGTAACTTGTCCACTATTACTTATAAAAGTGCAGGCCATATGGCTAGATTCTTAAGTTCTGATAAAAGTTTTATGAGAGATCCATTTGCTTTAAAAATTTCTACTTTGGTTCGCTACCACTAGAAAGAATTATTTTCAAAATCCTCATAAGTTGGAGGGTATGAATATATATATGTACATATACGTGTATTTATGCACGCACACACATACATTTAATGTGTATATGTATGTGCATCTGTGCACACATAAGTACGTTTGTTTTCATACTTTGTGTGCCTAGATGCATACTAACATACATTGTGTATCCTACTTACGTATGCATGAACAATTGAACATACAATATACGTAAGTACGGATATACAATATATGTAAGCATTCAACTTTTTTTTACTTATTCATACAAGCATTTATGTGCAGTGCTAGTTTGTGCACTCGCATAAACGTATAGCGTAGTTAAGTGCTCATGTATGTACAATATATTATGCATTCGCGCAGTAACTATCTTAACAATTATTCGTTAGATCATGATTGCAGGTAAAATATAACTGCTTATGATTGTACATATTGATTATTTTGATTTCCTAAAATAAAAGATTTCTGTTACTTGTAACCATATACCAGTTAGTTGTGATTAGAGGTACTCATAATCACTTTTTATCTGAAATCGGTATTTGTAACTTATAAAAATAACTACAAGTAGTTTCTTACCACGTACGTTTTATTTCTAGTTGTCACAATCGTAGTCAATTAGAGTATTCCGTGCCCATTTGTGTTCAATTGTGAAATTATTCAGTTATTCTTGACTAATGAATAAAGAATAATGATTAAAAATAATGAAAGATTTATTCTTTATTCAAAATATTTCTGTTGTTGTTGTTACACATCCCCCTGGAGAAGGAAAGCCTAGACCAGGTCCCGAAGGCCCCGTCGCGTCAGTTCCCTATATATCTCTGCAGAAAGTTCCGATCAACCAGCAGCTGCTTAAAAGAAGCGCCAAGGCAAAAAAGAAGGTGATCAGGACTAGCAGATTGTGAGCAGGAACAAGGTTGGAAAGTCTTCTCCTCACTTTGAAACCTTAAACACTTAAGATGGCCACTACGAAATCTGGCCATGGCTGATTGGAAAGGCCGAGGGCCTCATCGGCTGTCTCATTGCCATGTACCCCGACATGCGATGGGATCCATTGGAGGCTTGTTGGTGTTTAAAATATTTCTGACTGATGAATAAAACTTTATTCATGACAAAATACCAATTTTAAATTTTTCCCGATTTTTTCAATAATATTGTTGTTATAATGTCTCTCTAAAATGTATTTATAGAGATTTCCTACTATAAGAGTATATTTTAGTATAAAAAACAAAAATAAAAAAATTTGATCAAAGTTCGTAAATTGAAGAAATCGGGAAAAATTTAAAATTGGTATTTTGTCATTTAAAGTATGCCACGAAGAAAAATTTCATGTTCACGAATTTTTCTTGCTTTTTTAGGGTGTAAAAAAGAAGAAAATTCATGTAGAAATAGCGTGCCCCCCCCCCACCCAAAAAAAGGGTTTTTTTTTTGGTTTTTTTTAGCCGCCTAATTGACTTTTATTTGTAGAATTGCTCAAATGTTCATTTTCTTTATAGCCCACCTGCGAGTCAAAATTATATGAAATTTGATTTCAGGGTTTACTTTTTCACCCTAAATCGAATGTAATACTGAATTTATATGTTTTTTTAGAAGAATTGTTAGGTTTTATAAAAAAAATCATATTGCTTCTGAGTTACATTTAACTGTTATTAATAAATTATCAGGGTTTCTTCGAGATATTGCCATAACATTTCACGGGACGAAAATCCGCACAAGTTATAAGGTTAATCTGCTTTTTTTTTTCAATTATTTTTTTTTACAGATTTAGCTCACAAAGAGAATCGTTAGATAATTCTACTGCATTTTCAAAATGCTGAAAAAAATAAACAACAAATACAAAACCTTGTTACAAAATGTCATTTACTCCCAAGGATATTGAACTAAATTATAATGAGTAAAATATTTGGGATTCGTATATTGATACAAACTAAGGTAGACAACGTTAAAGAGCACAAAAATATTATTAAAAGCAGACAGCTGTTTCGGATGCTCAAAGGGCAACCTTCATCAGTGCAACAGAAAACAATAAGAGAACAGAGTAAATATATATAGAAAGATGACGTCACAAGAGGGTTTAGACCAACNATATATATATATATATATATATATATATATATATATATATATATATATATATATATATATATATATATATATATATATATATATATATATATATATATATATATATATATATATATATATATATATATATATATATATATATATATATATATATATATATATATATATATATATATATATATATATATATATATATATATATATATATATATATATATATATATATATATATATATATATATATATATATATATATATATATATATATATATATATATATATATATATATATATATATATATATATATATATATATATATATATATATATATATATATATATATATATATATATATATATATATATATATATATATATATATATATATATATATATATATATATATATATATATATATATATATATATATATATATATATATATATATATATATATATATATATATATATATATATATATATATATATATATATATATATATATATATATATATATATATATATATATATATATATATATATATATATATATATATATATATATATATATATATATATATATATATATATATATATATATATATATATATATATATATATATATATATATATATATATATATATATATATATATATATATATATATATATATATATATATATATATATATATATATATATATATATATATATATATATATATATATATATATATATATATATATATATATATATATATATATATATATATATATATATATATATATATATATATATATATATATATATATATATATATATATATATATATATATATATATATATATATATATATATATATATATATATATATATATATATATATATATATATATATATATATATATATATATATATATATATATATATATATATATATATATATATATATATATATATATATATATATATATATATATATATATATATATATATATATATATATATATATATATATATATATATATATATATATATATATATATATATATAAATTCAAATTATAAATTAAATGTACTAGAAAAGAAAATATTGCGAGACATTTTACATCTTAATTATGTATTTTGAATAAATATTGAATTTCAATGAGTCCAAAAGCTGTACAAAATGCATACCTGCCAACTTTTAATCCCTTCCATTATCATTTTTCCCAGTGGTATTAAAATGGAATTAAAACTTCAATTTTAAGCAAACATTATCATTTTTCCCAGTGGTATTAAAATGGAATTAAAACTTCAATTTTAAGCAAACAAATGCGTTGTATTTGAAAAAAATTAAGTTTACAACCATGATATTATATCATGGTTGTAATATATGGCATATTAATATATGGCATATATGGCATATTAATATATGTGCTTAATTTTTGAAAGAATAGTGGTGATCAAAATCATTTAAAAATTAGGTTTATAAAAGAAATAAATAGTATATATTTACTACCACTTTAAATATGAAAATAAAATGTTTTGTAGGTATGAGTTGGCACGCATGAAAATGTTTGTTGGAAAACAAACGTAAATCTCTTTGCATAAGCCAACTACTATGTTTTCTGCAAAACGTTTTATACAGTGGTAGATAATCAAACATTAAAGCTTATAGCATTTTTGATTAATTTGCTATTAATTTAAAAGCTTCACTAATATAAAATAAGATCAAAATAGCTTTTTATATGAACTTTTGAATTATTCACATGTTCTGGTGTGAAAAAATAGAATTAAAACAACTTTTCTAAACATAGAATTACTCATTGAAGCTTCATTGCTGTCAATCGAAGAAATTATCCTGCAAAGCTGAGAAAGGTATATTAGCATAGTTTTATTAGTATATTGTATTGTATTAGTATAGATTAGTGTAACGATGGCAGTTATACTAATACAGAAATCTATACTAATACAATACAAATTATTTTTTACTAAATGAAAAATACAAGGTTTTCCTGAATCTTAATTTATCTTAAAGGTAATTTTTTTCTTCTTCAAAATAACTCTTGGTGGTTGAAACATAGAAGTTGGTCACCATTTTTAACCAATAATCAGTCCTTTGACTCAAAATTTATATTAAACATATTTTTTGTACTTTTTTTATTATTTTGAATTAATTAACGTCAAAATAAGCAAAAAATACTATTATTGATGTTTTAACAATTTATGGTGTGGAAATATAGCACGAAACACCGGTGTCTTCTTCTGCGGTAAAGGTAAACTTTTCCATACATGGCTTACTTCTTAACTAAAATTTTTTTAAATTCGCTCTTATTTGAAGTTATTTAGATTTAATAGAATCAGTTATTTATCATTGAAATTTCTCTAATTTACAAAATTGGTAATTGATAAATTTTTGAATGTGAAAAATAATTTAAAGTACTTTTTTTGGATTTCATATTTTAATACAATCATAATTCCGCTAATCTAACTTCCGATTACTATTAGTCAATTTTCTACAACTGAGAAATACCAAAGCATATTTTTGATGGTAAATTAATTGTCAAAAAAACCTTTGTAAGAGTCACCGGTGTCAAAGGGATAAAAAATTTCAAACACCCAGAGGAGCCTTTTATACTTCATTTCATCACCAATTCTTTCAATTTTCACCATAAATATTTTACCACCAATACATTTCGTAACACATTGCTGACCAGTCACGAGTTAATTTGTGGTTTCGTGGCCAAACGTTGGTGACCGGTCACGAGTTAACTCGTGTTCTTGTTAGCAGTGATCTCGTGGTGACTATTTTAAAAAGTGGCCGTAATATTCCTTACTTTTCCAGTCGCCCTAGCTAATAATAAAGATTAAGAGGTCTGATGACAGCTGACGCGGGCAGGCACCTTACAAATTACAGATCGTCGTCGTCGGTGTACTATTACACATAAGTGATTAAAAATTGAAAAATTTTAAAGATTATTTAAATTGTTTTGCTTCCACTTTCAAAACAATAGCCGGGCATAGCATGTTTTCAGAAAAGTTGCCGGTGAGTAATGTATTAAAGATAGGAAGAAATCTTGACAATGCACACAAAAATTAAAATGAATCTGTACATACTTGATAACTGCATACAGCTTTCTGATTTCTGCATACCAACCATGTGATTCCTTCAATACATGGAGGAAAACTTAAGGAGCCCTCATATCTGTAGAAAGGACAGTTGTTGTCAATCAGGTCTTCCAGATAAATCTTGCCCCGTCTATGCGAATCTAAGCTCAGCAGTTGAATTTCTCCTTCGAAACTTTGTCCTTCATATTGAAATGCATCCTTAACTGACAAAATGTTGTATAGAGCTGAGTTTAGTTGATGGGTTTCCTAGGCATTGAGAAAGCATGATTAAGTTTCTTTTTGAAAAGCTTTTTTCTATCTATAAATATATATAGGTTTATTACTAAGTCTTTTTAAACGTCATTGTTTTGCATCGTTATACTAATTGGTTTTATAAGTTCGTATAAAAGTCCATCAATATTGACTCTGACATTAGTGATCCTAGATGATATTTTATGATGTAAATCAATGTCCACAAAAAAAGATACTGCTCTCGAGAAACCTGAAGCAGAGAATCATTAAAGCATCTGCTGTCACGGATCAATCCAGAATTACCAGGAAATATTTTGTTGCCTTTATGTGCTTCTTGCAGTTGCTCATATAAATATTTCATTCTCTTAATTGAGCTAGCAATATATAAAGCTCAAAAATATGTTATAAAGCTGAATTTTTCATACTCTTAAACTTACTTCTTTCTGTCTATGACGCTTATTTAAAGGTTATAAAGATGAATTTTTATTCTCTTAAATTTGCTTCTTGCAGTCTTTGAAACTCACATGAAGGCAATAAAGCTGAACTTACGTACTCTTAAAAGATGATTTTTGAAGTCTATGGAGATCGCATAAAAGTTATAAAGCTGACTTTACATACTTCTAAATGTGCTTCTTGCTGTATTTAAAACTCGCATAAAGGTTATAAAGCTGAATTTTAACGTTTTTAAATTTGCTTCGTACAGTCTTTAAAGCTCATATAAAACTAAATTTAAGTATTTTAAATTTACTTCAATTTCAGAATTATATATTTGCCAAAATTTTTACATAAAATATTGAAATTGTAACGAATTTTTTCAACGCGTTGTATAATTTAAATTTAAACTAAATTTTAATAAAAAATTCTCCATTTGTTTTTAAAAAGAAAGAAAATTATGCTATTGATAAAAAAAGAGAGCAATTGGTGGAGCCATGAATGATGATGCATAGAATTACTTAACGTTATGTTGTTATTGTCAGTATTCAAACTGTGATAAGCATTATGGATTAATCACACTGATCCAAAAAAATCCCCACCACCTTAAAAGCTTTTCTACTGGTCGATTGCATGAATTTATCATTAGATTTTTAACGAATTCATTGACAAATCAATTTGAACTTCAATTTACATGCACGAGCAGAAATTTCGAATTTTACATTCCACAACTGCAATATTGAGCAATTAAATTTCATATCTAATCACCATTTAGAATTTTTAAAAAAACTTTAAAAAAAGAAAAGGCATCACTCTTTCCTAAATTTATTACTTTACCAAAATAATCGAATTTGAAAAATACAATGCAAAAAGAAATAGCAAAATATTTAATATAAATTATTATTTTATTAAAATTAGTAATTAAATGCCCTAATCGGATAGCCTGGTTGGCAGAGAGCTATACTCATGCTCGTGAGAACGGAATTCGAATCTAGCCGACTGAAGACTCCCTGTGTAATAAATGGTACCCGGTGAACATTTAATCTGATCGGTTACAAAGTTCAGAATGTTTCTATAACAAACTATGACTCTGGAGATACTGAATTAAAGATTGGTCGTTCTCTGTTTCTGGTCAAAATCACAATCTGTGGTAGAATGTTTGAATGGGTCCCCCTGTAAACGTGTGTGACGAATGGGTGTGGTAGAAGTCGAATGCTTGTCCATAGATTGCGTCACTGAAAAACAAGAACAATCTCAACGCTTGCCTTAATGGGTAAGACAATAACAACAAATACCCTAACTAGCGACGCTTTAGTAATCACTTCATATAAGTATTTGAGAGAGCTTTATAAAAACTTGCTGCTTAACTTTACTAACTTGCTTTAAAACTTGCTTTATAAAAACCGGCTGGTTTGAAAAACTTGACAGTGGTATAGAAAATAAAACAAACTTCGATCATTCAATAAATACATTTATGATAACACAGCCATTTAGTATTTTATAAAAAAAATACATGTCTAAGAGAACTGAAACCCTTACCAGACCACCAAGACAAATAATATGAATTTACTACAACGCTATTAAATATTTCTGAGAGTCATCCTTAATAATATTGATAAGCCATCAGTGTAACAAATGTCTGCCAATTAGTCAAAATTTATCGATAATTTTTGCGTCAAAAATAATAAAAGTATTCCAATTGTCTTCTCTAGCCCGTTATCTATGTTAACCCCCTCTTCCGTAAGCAGGAAACTTGTCAGCATTTTCTATAACCTGCAAGTTAATTTGAGACTTCTATAAAGGTACAAAAGAATTTCGCAGAATTCGGCAATATCTCAACATATGCAACACCTGATTTTTAATAGCATCCCAAATATTCAATAATCACTTTCTCCAAAAAAAATTTTTTTTAAAAAGGTTCGCTGTTTTTTCTTAAACGATTATAAAATTAGGAACCTTGGAATAGTTATTAATCACTTTTTGTTTTTAAAAAATTTGATTTAAGAGCAGATTTTGCGTGTGGTACTAATAATCTTTCTTAATGATAGTGAATAAAAAAATTATTACATTTACCTCAAGGAATCCTGCAACAGCAACTATTTTTCCTTCGTTCTCATGAATTAAATTAGTCTGTTTTAAAAAGGAGAAAAAAAGGTTAGAAAATGATTAGCATATGCAAATAAAGTAAGGAAAATTAATTAATATTATACATCATGAGAGAAATTGCCTTTCGGTGGTTGACCAATGCCTCCTATAACTGAAAGCCTCCACACGGTTTTTTATAGGTAGTCCGATCAGACCACGGGCTAAAGAGAATACAAGGGCTAGTTCACTCCGCTCTTAGAGCTGAAGCTACGATTTCCCTCCTCATGACGTCACTGTGTCTACAGATCTCGGAGATCGCAAGCAAAGATATGATAACTTTGCATCTTTCTCTTTGTAAAAATAAGTTAGACTTTTTCTGGTTATTAGCCTTCAAACTTTACGTAATTAACACATTATTTCCGTTCATAAACATAGTTCAAAAAAAACTTTCTTGGTTATTATATTAAAAAAATACCATTTTAAACTTATAAAAATGTTTTGCTAGTTGGTGAAAATGACACGATAAATACTTTATTTTAAAAAGTTCAGTTTTAACTTTAACTATTAAGAAAAATGAAGGCATATATCGACACTTTTTTTATCTACATATTCTTTTATAAAGATAAGTTAAGTTAAATTTAGAATCCCTGATTTTAAAATATGTCGTTAATAGCAATTTGTTCATACTTAATCATTAGGAAACATCAACCTTAAACGCTAATTACTGAAACAAAATAATAATTTAGGTTCATAATGACATTAGAAATTTTACAATTGTTTATAGACATTTAAATTTACGATGATATAATTTATAGATATTTAAATTGAAGAGAATATAATTTTTAAAAAAAATCATAAATATTTAGAATAACTACATTAAAAAATATGTTATGAAATTAGGAGAATTTCAACTATATACTATATATTTTATTTATACTTTTTACTTACATTTTAATTTTCTTTGACTTTATCTATTTTTTAATTCTTTTCACCTGCCTTTCTTTATGAAGTAACGAGGCGGTTTCTATTTAGATAATGAATTTTTATAAAAGTTCTTTACGACAGAATAAACGTATTGCTGTTTTATATTAACTGTGTCATTTCGGAATCCATTCTTTACATAGTTGTTCATTTACTTTAGGGAACACGCGAAAAATTATACTTTTTCCTTTTGTTTTTATATCAGAATTTTTGCAAGTTGCAATCGCGCAAACTGGCATTTCGATAATAGTTTTAAATTCTTGTAAATTCACTGCAAAAACTGAGGAAAGTCATTATAGAAAATAACAAATGTCTTAGAATATCTCGCAAAAAGAAATGATCCAATATTAGTTAGAGCTAGTAAGGCCAAACGCTCCGTTCTTGAAGTAAAAGTGCGAGCTTTGCGCCAAAGTGACGTCACTAGAGTGACGTCGGAGGATCGGCGCGGCGAGAGATACTTCAAAGGAGTGAACCAGCCCTTCTATTCTCTTTAGCCCTGGATCAGACCACTGTGAAGGATATCCACTTTCGGAACGAGTCATTTAATACAGAATCTAGTTAAAATAAGAAAGTGGTATCAAATATATGACTAAAAATTTGTTTTATTTATGAATATTATTGGTTTGCCTTATTCACTTGCCAGCCACTACAAATTCAATTCTCAAATATATATGATGAAATTCTCTCAATTACTTTTATAAAAGGTTTTGGGTTCAAGCGCACAACTGGTTCCCTTTTTAAATAGTCTGCGCGGACTACTTATAAAAGACCGTGTGTAGGCTTTTTGATGTAGGAGGTGATGGGTAGACCCATTATTTCTATCTGTGTCACTTTATATTGACGACAACCATAATTCCATTACAATAAGTATACTAAAATGATAATAATCACTTTCTAGTGGATGATTTTCACTCTTCTGATTTGCTTTTAAAGTAAGCAATATTCTTTTTTCCTCCTCATACGTAGTAGCTAAAGTTCGTAATTTTCGAGGAAACTTTTCCTCAATAATAGTAACATAAAGATTACAGGGATGAATTATAGGGAAAAACCTTTTCAGTTGTCTGCCCCTAAAATTTTAATAAACTGACTTCAAATATATTTTTTAATATATTATGATGGTTAAATTCTTTTTAAATCAAATTTATTAAATGAAGAATGAAGTATCAATTAAGCGTACCACTGATGCCACCTTAAATGTGAAATCTTAAGAAAACCTAAAAAGTTGATAGCATAGTACTTAAGTGAGAGGAGAAGAATTTTAGCCCCTTTATTTTATACATAAGAAAGGCTATGCTCATGGTCAATATATGGGATATTGGGAGACTGACCAACTTAAGGTCACGGGCGTCGAGCAACTGAGTGTTTACTTTTTCTTAATGCTTACCTCCATCGTATATCTTCCATTATTTATCACGAGCTCCGATCCTTTGTGTGTTTCGTTACCCCAATGGAAAGCGAAGTGTTGTAATGTATACTTCTTACCGTCAAACGTGACTGACCTTTCAACTCCATCTTGAGGCGTTATAACAACTGAAAAACACAGTATTTTATAAGAATTTAAATAAAATTTATAATCACTATATTTTAAACTTGACTATATGAGCACCATACAGCATCAACTCACAATGATGTCACTGTTGCAATGAATTACATTTTTTTAAAACAAACAACCTATAGCTTTTTTTTTATAACTGTCAACATTCCTACTTGTTTGCGAATTATGTTTATCAAATGTAGGACATGTGGTCAGTTATTTCTTCCACTGTCCTTAAATTTCGTAGAGATTTATTTTTGATATCATTATAAATCATCCCAAAGAAAATAAATTAACAGTAAAAATCATCATTGTCTCCCTGTTTTATTTTTTTATATACATGCTTTTGAATTATTTATATGAAGGTAGTACATATTATTGACGAAATGATCAAGATAATTTTTATCATGCTCAGTAATCATATATTACTAGCATGCATTAATGTAATCAATCAAATATGTATGTCTTCAAATATGATTAGCATTAATAATTAGATATTACAAGCATATATGTAGCAACATTTGATTAATAGTTTACTATGTGAGCGAATATGCATATGTTGTTGTTGTTGAATCCAATGATTCTTCGACAAGTCAAGCTATCCAGCCAATAACTTCGTTGTAATTTGACAAGAGAGCACGGCTATCGTGAAAGTTTGGCAAACCCTGGTCCCTCTGGACAGAAGTCCAATGATTTAACCACCTGGCTATCTCGGTCTGAATCTGTACATATTTATTACTTATCAATATAGTCTTTTTTTAATCAAATTTAGTAAAGAACAAATAAAAATCTATTCATTTTAAGAATGCACTCTTGAAAAGAACCTATAAGTTTAGAACTATCGTATATTATGATAGAAAACTGGCAATTATGAAAACACGTCATAGACTCTTTCTGAAATGAACAAATCTTAATAAAGTAAAAAAGAAAGCAAAACTTACTTGCTGAACCAGTGTTCCTTATAGAGACGTTGCCGATAGGTTCATCGTAGCCATTAAGTTTAAGCCTCTGACGCGCTCCACTGCTCTCGGTTTCTCTTGTTATTATGTTAACGGGAGATTGAGATGTTCCATTGCAATTAGGATACTTGTCAGCCCAATGCTGTGGACCTAATGAAATGAAGATATCAAATAAGTATGTAAGCATGTACGCCTAATCTGATTCGAAAGATTTGTTTTTATATTCATGTTAGTTTAAATGTGTTAGAGTCATATTAATCCGGGGTGTACTGAGATGTTTTTTAATTTATTTATTTATTAAATTTGATATAAGCAGTTGCAAATAATAAAAATCCTTGGGATATTAGCAAAGTTCAAAGCTTATGAGTATCAAAACGGAAAGAAAGTAATGCCTGTTAGTAACACAATTTCATTTTTGTGGTTTTATACGGAGCGAAAGATTTATGCGCTCTGAAAATTCTTAGCAATTATATATGATCGAGGCTGTTAATTGGTAAGCTTTTTACAAAATATTTTATTGGGTGGTAGACAATTAAACACATAGTATTACACATAGCTTTCAGTATTTTGGTGTTATTTAATTTTGCAATGATTTTGCGAGAAAACTGGAGCAAAATTGCTTTTTGTATAAGTTTTTGAATCATTCCTGTGTAGCAGCGAGGACATTTATTTTAAATAATATTTACTTAACGAGGAATAGCACATTAAAACATAAAATTAGTTACCACTAGAAAAGCATCTGACATTGCTATCTAAACAAATGAGCCCTTGTATCCTATCTTTTTTTATACTTAATCGAAGAGATTATTCATGAATCAATACAGAGAATTGTTAAAGAGTTTCAAGTAACACATCGGCTGATAAGTTTCCGGTCTGACATAGAGATGGCGCCCTAAATGCAGAATTAGTATTTGTTTAGCAAGTCCTAACCTTCAAATAAAAGGTGTCAAAATTTTATAATGATCTGTAGATTGGTTTTAAAGTTACAGTGATTTTAATCTTTGGCCTCAAATTAGGCGTTTGTTTCGACAATCACTTTTTCATTCGTGCTGAATCTCTTACCGGCGAACATTTTTTTCAAGTCTGCAAACAAGTAGAAATCATTAGCAGCCAAATCTGGTGAATAGGGTGGACGCCGGTGAATAGGGGGTGTCTGACACAACGTCAAACAGCTCTCGGAATCATCAATTCGTTGTTGTTTTTGGTCAACTGTTAAGCATACGCGGCACCCACTTCGAAAACAGCTTTCTCATAAACAAATATTCGTGCAAAATAAAGCCTACACGCTCTTTTGATATATTTAGAGTATCAGCTATGTCATGCAACTTCACTTTGCGGTTTTCTATAACAATTTTGTGGACTTTTATTATGTTTTCCGGATTAACATCATCTTTAGGGCGTCCAGAGCGTGGCGCATCTTCAACATTTGTACGACCACGTTTAAAATCAGCAAACCAGTCAATAATGGTCGATTTTCCTGCTGAAGAACCCGGATAACACTAATCGAGCCAAGCTTTAGTTTTTACCGTGTTTTTTCCCATTAAATAACAATGTTTAATAAGAACACGAAATTCTTTTTTATCCATTGCTTCAAAAATATAAATTGGTGTTCGATTAAAATCGCTGTAACTTTAAAATCAATCTACAGATCGTTATAAAATTTTGACACCTTTTATTTGAAGGTTAGAACTTGCTAAACAAAATACTAATTCTGCATTTAGGGCCCCATCTGTATGTCAGACCGGAAGCTTATCAGCTGATGTGTTATTTTCACACAAAAAATGTACTACTCTTGACGCATGCTTACTTACTTACTTACACTTTTTATTGTGCAATCTATGGTTTATCTACAGACTATCTGAACACATTTTTTGTGGAGAATTTTCATGTTGAAGTCAGTGAAATGAAATTTGAGTAAATAGCATTAAAAACTCTAATGTAATAATGTATTTTTTCATAAGAAGTGCAAGTGAAAAGTAGTACTTTTTATACAAAAGAACCAACTTGCTAATATTAGTTCGTTTGACACGTCTTAACCGATAAATCTAAAAAAATACATAGAACACTATATTTAACTTTTCACTGTAGCAATATAAGAAGCTTAAATAAGTGCTACTACAACATTTTATTTTTTGTACTCAAAATCCTTACAATAGCTTAATTATTTATTTTATCGATTCCTGTTTTAACTCATTCACTTCAGAACGAAAAATGATTAGAAAACAAATTCCTCTCTTGTTTAGATAGGATTGTCAGATGCGTAAATATGTACAGGTTAAAAATTTTACTTTTTGTACGTGATCTCATTCTATCCAGTGTGACGAAATACGTCAGAAACAGTATCCTACTCACCTTTTTAGAAGAAATTTTCTATTCCCCCTCAAAATACAACCATTTTCTTTTTTTAAAAAAAAGGGGGAGGTAAGAGCAGAGAGGAGAGTAAAGTTATTTTCTGGTATCATTTATAGTTGCGCAACAAAGCATATTGTTAAAGAAAACATTGTAGATAATTTTTTCAACCGAAATACTTTATTTTTTGCAATAATTACTGGATTAATACAATTCTTCACAAAACCTCTTATGCATATTTTTTAAATCATTATTATCATACACGGTTCTAAGTGCTAAATAACTAGTTTCTTCTTTAAAAACATTGTGGTTAGACAACAGTTTCAGTAATAGCATATGTCTTCTGCACGAACCAAAAAAATTTTACCCACCGGAAATTAACAGTATGATTTTTGTATCTGTGTTAGATTAGTCGGCATTCTATGTAGCCGAGAGATAATAAGTGAATGACTCATACTGGTAAAATTAATTAATTAGAATTTCAAATAAATAGAAAAAAATTAATATTAGAATAAAATGTTTGACTATACAATATCTTACCATTAGGTAAGTTTGAATCATAAGACCAATCCTTGTCTCTTTCAGCAGGGCATTCTTCGGCAAATACTGTTGCACAACCTGTAAAATATTTATGTGCTTTTTGCAACTTTTTTTTAATTAAAAAACATCCAATAATTACTTTGTTACTTAGTTTTTAGGGATTTAAAAAAATTACACTTACTAATATTCGATACTTACTAGTTTTAAATCAAGGTTCCGAGATTCCATGAGAAAAGTGGTTGCAGAATTAATCTGTTTCATGCAACTTTTGGAACGCAAGCAATAAATAGCGCATTGGTTATTGCCACAGCATTATTATAATGAAAAATGCATATTAACTTAAATTTATTATAGCTTAGAGTATGACTTATCCTCTCATGCTATTGTAAAACCGAAACCATAACTTTTACGAATTCCCTGCTTCAACGCCGTTTGTCGAAGCTCTGTTGCCAAGGAAAATAAAAAAAAAAAAGCCATAATGAAGTGCCTTACACTTGGTGCAATGCGATGATTTTCAGCTACCAATATAATCTTGCCCAAATGAATTATCTGGGCTTTAGGACATACAAATAACTTAAATATTTTAAAAGTTATTAAACTTTTTTAAAATTCACCAATTTGGCGACATTTTCCCACCTATATTAAAATTAACAAATTCAGGAAAGCAATCCAAAGTATGGATCCCTTAACGTTAACCCTTTCCACTCGAGAGGTGACTGTCAGTCACCACTGTCACCTGTAAATTACCCACCACTCCAATTGTGAAATTCTTTTCATCTTAATGTTTAGCTACCACTTCATTCAGTGATCCTCGGATTTTATAAGGTAAGATAGCAAAAATTCTTTCAAAATTTTAGTGGTTGCATCCATTTTTTTAACAGTGGAAAGGACTACGAGTGCAAAGGGTTAATTTTTTCTTATTCCGTCATATCTCAAGCATTTTTTAAGCGAATTAAAATCTTTTTGCACATAATTATTAAATTGGTTTGTCCAAAGAATGTACAATAATTCCATGGAAAAAATATATTTTAGTAAATATTCATTATTCTTTATTATTTTTATTTAATACTAATCGAAAAAAGCTTACATTGTCAGTTATACAATTTTGTGCATCGTTTTAAAGTATCTAAATTTTCATGACAAAATACAAAATTTGAGTGAAATCAGTTGAATAGTTCCTGAGAAAAAATATTCCAGAAAAGTGGTATACTTAGAATTCGATTTAAGATAATTTTTAAAGGATACCAAGGTTTTCGCCAAAGGTGGCAAATAATAACACAGTTATCAACTTGTACGGTCGTTGAGAAAATTGTTTGTAACTGGAAGTAACTTATGTCGATAATATGTAAATCTAGGATTTTAAAGTTTAAAAAAAAATTTCCTACGATTAAATATTAATANGACTTCTGCCTCACCTGATACGGTTTTATGCTGGCACGTATTTGTGACAGTCGGCGCGAAAGGGTTAAATTCGACTATGTCAACGTTCATCTATCAAAAGGTTCCTCAAAATAAAATCGAGTTATCATGTCTTATATACTAGTGATTTAGTACTTAATAATTGTAGTGGTAAGAGGATTATTGGTAGTGTCACATTAATCCCCTTCCAGAAATGTATCTGTGATAGAATTCGATGAACGGATACCACTAGTTATTTCATGCTGTATATTTTCTTCTCTTTCTTAATATATTTCATTAGCAAGTTCATTTCACTTCCGGGTCATCAATGTAGGGGATTTAATTATCGACTGTGACAACCTACATCTACCAAATGGTACCTGAAAATTGAATCGAGTTAACATGTCTTATATACTAGTGATTTGGTATTTAATATTTGTAGTGGTAAGAGGATTATTGGTAGTCTCCCATTAATCCCCTTCCAGAAATGTATCTGTGATAGAATTCGATGAACGGATACCACTAGTTATTTCATGCTGTATATTTTCTTCTCTTTCTTAATATATTTCATTGGCAAGTTCATTTCACGTCCGGGTCACCAATGTAGGGGATTAAGTTATCGACTGTGACAACCTACATCTACCAAATGATACCTGAAAATTGAATCGAGTTAACATGTCTTATATACTATTGATTTGGTATTTAGTATTTGCAGTGGTAGTTACTCCCCACTAGTCGACAAAAATTTGAATTGTAAGTCATACAATTTTGTATATTGTTTTAAAGTATCTAATTTTTCATGACGAACTACCAGATTTGAGCGAATTCAGTTGAATAGTTCCTGTAAAATAAAATTCTAGAAAAGTGGTATACTTAGAATTCGATACAAGATAATTTTTAAAGGATACCAAGGTTTTCGCCAAAGGTGGCAAATAATAACACAGTTATCAACTTGTACGGTCGTTGAGAAAATTGTTTGTAACTGGAAGTAACTTATGTCGATAATATGTAAATCTAGGATTTTAAAGTTTAAAAAAAAATTTCCTACGATTAAATATTAATATTTCAAATATGTGTATAAGATCTATAACCTAGGTAGTTATACTTTAAAATGCTTGTTAGACTATTAATTTTAGAAAATTATTGTTCTTACTTCAATTGTTAGTTTAAAACCATTTTGTAAATTCTTCCTCAACGCTCATGAAGTTAGCAATCATGTAGAAGAGAGAAAACACAAGATATTTTTTTATCATTTAAAAGAGAGAATGAAAAAATATAAAATAGCAAAAATGGAAACAACTTACAAAAAGAGCAAATAACTAAGAAAAATGCTAATTCCACAAAATGTTTATAATCCATGATGGTCTCGACTGCTTAGAATTAAATGCAAGACTTTATTGCAAATTCACAGCTCTTATATGCAATTCCTTTCACTTCCTGTCATCCAATAAATGTTACACAAGTTATAAAATAGTTTTATTGGCAAACAAATGTTGAATTCTATTAAAAGATTAGGACTACGATAAAAATTACTTGGCAAATTGCCAACGGTATTTCCCTGATTTTAAAGATTACCATTGATAAAAATCACTTACGATAATTAATGCTGGTGACATAGTACTTTAAAGGCAACTCTCATCGAGGCCAGTTAAACGAACTGAATCTATTTATAAATATTTACATCAATTCATGCACAGGGGAAATTCGAACGGAAAACTCCGTTTCATAATTCATCATAATTATTTTAAACTCGAATGTTTTCTTTTTTATCACGTTTCATCCAAAGAATAAAATTAAAGTCAAAATATCCTAAATAAAGAAAGTATTCTGTATAGAACAGTAATTTCAACTGACAAGAACTGATCGAACGAAGTGTGTATTTTTTAAACCAATGAAAAAAAATAGACATGTTACCACGTTTTACTGTCGTTTACTGTAGTATCTAGCATAGTGTACCACAAGTTGCAGTGCCAGAACTGTATAGGTCATTGGAAACCTTTGTGAACTTCTGTTTATAACAATTCCAATGAGGAATTTCATATTTTGAATTGATGATTTGTCATTAATTATTAATCTCTCAAAGAAGTTTAATTTAAGAAATTTTTAAGTTATAACTTAAAATTTTTTTAAATTAAACTTCTTAAAAAATGTAAGGCATAAAATTTAGACTTTTATAAACATGTCCGTATCTACGTAAATATCTTAACTAAGCTTATGAAAATTTATGCAATTATTGCATGTAACCATATAATAAAAATGAGATGTTTAAAATTCCGAAAACAGACACTAATCTTAATCACGCAAAAAAAATATACATACAGGTAGCCATAAAGAATAAATTCTCACCAAAGAAACCAACTTGTTCCAGACATCGGATAAATATTTTCGAGTGGAAATCTTTTAACCTCTTAGCGCCCACCGCCATATTTATAGGACAGTTTCCTTTTTCAAAAACGTGGTAGGTTTTCAAAAACATGGTATATTGTGGTAGGACAATTGTTGCAATTTTGTCTTTTATCTAGGAGAATTAAAAGTTTCCCTTCCACCATAATTTATTAGTGATTTAAGTTTCTATCACTAGATATATAACTATAAGGTTCAGGAACATTTCGAACTGAAATGGTAACAAATAGTTGATATTAGCCATTTAGTTGAATAACATATTATACCACTTTTTTCATAAAGCCACTTTTTGCACCACTTCAATATAAAAAGTCGGGATGAAACTGATTAATGTATGATTCTTGGTTTAACCCTTTGGGGACGGGTGATTCAGAAAAGCATTCGTACAAAATCAGAATCAAGTTGTAATTAAATAAAAAACGGTAACTTAAATGTAGTCGTTGCTAATTTGACAGACTTACTTTGCTTTTACTTGAATTATTGTTAGTTTAATCATATATATAATCAATGTTAATTCAAAGTATAACTAAATAGTTTTATTTTGAACAAAGTAATGGTGAATTAAATAAATCAAACAATTATAACTCCGCCCACAAATAAACTGCTAAAGAATTACTTTGATAACCAGTTTTACCTTTTTACCCTGATTGATACGGTTTTATGCTGGCACGTATTTGTGACAGTCCGCGCGAAAGGGTTAATAAATTCGATTTACTCACCACTGCTTCTAAATAATTCAAATGCTCTTGTGATACACTACTTTGTTCCAGTTAAGCCGTAAGCTCGGGGGTAATACCTCGGGGGGAGGCGAAGCAATCTAGCACAAAAACATCTTCTCACTCTTAAATTTGTTTGTTTAACCCTTTCGCGCCGACTGTCACAAATACGTGACAGCATAAAACCGCATCAATCAGGGTAAGAAGATAAAACTGGTAATCAAAGTATTTCTTTAGCAGTTTATTTGTGGGCGGAGTAATAATTGTTTGATTTATTTAATTCACCATTACTTTGTTCAAAATAAAACTATTTAGTTATACTTTGAATTAACATTGATTATATATGTGATTAAACTAACAATAATTAAAGTAAAAGCAAAGTAAGTCTGTCAAATTAGCAACGACTACATTTAAGTTACCGTTTTTTATTTAATTGCAACTTGATTCTGATTTTGTACGAATGCTTTTCTGAATCACCCGTCCCCAAGGGGTTAATCTCGCTACTTTATTTTATTTTTCCTCAGTAAATGTTACTGAAACCCAACTTTCACCATTCAATTGCGCTTCGGCGATTTATTATACATTCCCACTCAGATGAATTAGTTAGAGCTCCTCGCGGGGCTGATGTTAAGATAACTACCACATATGAGTAGGAATGAGTCCAGTTAAGCCATGTTGGACCTTATAAAAAGTTGGCAAAATTAACCAAATTTTAGTCTGCAGCTCGTTATCTTATTTTAAAGTATCTTGTCGAATCCGGAGCAGTTGGCATCTTTGTCAAACTAATAAACTATTTGAATTAAATTATTCGTGAAAAATGAGAGAAGTTAGCATTTACGATATAGTTTCATTGTTGTTGTTTTTTCTAATGTCACTTGCCATACTAGCAAGCCTGCTTGGTGAAACCAAGCAAATTTAAGGAAGAGTGTGCGTTTCTTGTTTTTCAGTGGCGCCATCTATGGCTAAGAATTCGACTTCTGCCTCACCATACGTCGCACCCGCTTATATTGCGGACCCATTCATACATGTTTTCATTCATCCGCAGATCGTAATTTCGACCTGAATCAGAGAACGATCGATCTCCAATCCAGTACCCCCAGAGATATTGATTTGTTATGGGAACATGGAGGAGTTTTGCGACTCGACAGATTTAACGCGTCAGTCACTTTACTACACGGGGAGTCTTCGGCCGGCAGGACTCGAATCAAACCCACCAACTCTCGGACATGGGCCCAGCGCCCTGCCAACCAGGCTATCCTGGCCCGACTAGGCTATCCTATATAGTTTCATTAAATTATGTAGTTAAAAAATACCTCATATATTAGAAAGCCTCCACACGGTATTTTAACAACAGTCTGCGCAGACTATTAAAAAAAGTGAACCAGTTGTGCATGAACCCAAATTCTACCAATTACATACCTGCCAATTAATCCTTTCGACGATGATTTTTCTCAGTGGTAGTAAAACGGAATTTAAATTACAATTTTAGGCAGAGACATACGCTGTAATTTTGAGAAGTTTATGCGGAATACAGCAATGGCAATTTAATTAAGCATATAATAATATATTTGCTTAATTTTTTAAAACATAGAGGTGATCAAAAGGATTATAAATTAAGTTTATAAATGCAAGGAATATATAGAAAACATACATTTTACTACCACTTTAAATATAGAAATTAAATTTTACGCCAAATGCGTAAAAGTTGCCAGGAATGCAATTATAAAGATCCATGATGAACTGTTTATATTATAAATGTTTTTCTTTATTACAAAGTATTTTTAATTAGGAATTCCATTTTTTAATAAATTCAACTCTGATGAAATATGTTTGGAAAAAAAAATTTATGACCATTTGGCAGTTTTAGAAAATAGTTTTAAAATATATAATTCCTTTTGCAGTTTGTAATATTAATGAAGTTTTATTTTATAAATAAATGAGAAAAAATAATTTTTAATAAGTTCCCAACTTTGGATGGGCCGTGGTAAACAAACCTTAAAAACTGGTATTAAAATTCAAATTATTTTTTTCTAATAATCTAAACGAGTTTTTTATTCTTACATAAAGATATTTTTATTTTCCTTTCCTAGAAACAAATGGCTCATTCAAGGATGAAACTAGAAAGAAAAAAATTTCATACATTGGTGCATGAATTTCAATTGTGAAGTCAATTTAAAAAAAATTATCCCCTTCATAAAAGCGTTATTACTTTTATGTGTAAACTATGTGAACAATAACTTCCACTTTAAATTTTAGAAAAAAGAAATGTACACTTAATTACTTACATGTATAAAGTTTATATTTTACGGTTAATACAAATAATTTGTAAATATTGAAATCAAGGGTATGCCACTAATTGCCTTTTAAATAAAATTACCGTTTGTCTTGAAAGGCTTGCCAGGCAGAAAATACTCTGTTCGGTATCAGTTTCTTCTTCTTAAGCTGAACACGTTGAATGCCACTCTAATTTTAAATGGCTTGCTCGTCTAGCCACACGGTAAATAACTTCAAACTAAATTTGCAAATATAGGCAGATTTTGTTAGTTTATAAAAGTTTAGCACGCCGTAAATTAAGATACTTGTTGAATTATATATGCCTACTAATTATTTAAAAACAGTGGTGGATAAAAATCTACTGAATTGAATTTATTAAGCCAAGAACCACAATAATTAAGTAAATTTTGTATAAATTTTCTGCAATTCCATAAAAGAGCAGAGATGCCAACTGCTCCGGACACGCCAAAATAATTAATAAAGCGCTAAATAACTACAAAGTAAATTTTGCAAATATTTGAAAATATCAATATTTATTTATATTAATATTTATATTAATATTTTTATATAATTAATATTTGAAATGTGCAAATATTTGAAATTATCAATTTGCAAATATCTGCAATTTCATAAAAGAGGGTAAATTTTATAGTTCTATATCATGTTATACGCAGTCAACCAGTTGTTTTTCGCGGTCTATGTGAAAGGTCAGTGTCATCAAGCGGTGGCAGACGCAGCCTAAATGTAATTTCAGTGTCAGCCACCGGTGGTTGACGCAGCCTAAATTTAATTTCAGTGTCAGCCACCGGTGGTTGACGCGGCCTAAATGGAATGTCCAGTGACAGCTACCGATGGCTGGCGTTGTGCTCAACGTGTTAAGGGATCAGATTTTGTGGGACATNGCAGCCTAAATTTAATTTCAGTGTCAGCCACCGGTGGTTGACGCGGCCGAAATGGAATGTCCAGTGACAGCTACCGATGGCTGGCGTTGTGCTCAACGTGTTAAGGGATCAGATTTTGTGGGACATTTTTCACCTAAAGTTAGTGGAGCTAACTTTGTTTAATAAATGAATTGTTTTAAGAATTACAAGAATTTAGATGATAAGACGCTATCAACTGATATTTTCTAGAACTGATAGCTTATTAACTAGTCTGTATTCCTTAAAATAACTTGATATTTTTCGCATCATTAAATCTCACGAGCCTTAAATCACGTAGAAAATCAATGCTGTAATTACTCATTACCCAAATTTAGTTTTTTTTTAATAAATAAAATTAGACTTTTCATGTTTGTAAACCAAGAATCCATCATGGAACATGAACTACCTTACTAAATTATTTTCCACTAGAAAATTAAAAAATAAATAAGTAACTATGTAGAGAGTAAGTAAAGTTATTCTGTTATTCCTTTCAAATTATATGTATTAAATTTAAAAACAAAAATGATTAAGTTGATTTAGCATATTTTTCTAAATCGATCGCAGTTTCGAAAGAACATTCCGCAATAAAAAAAGAAGCGTGATCTCTATAATTTTTAAAATATCTGCTCATGAAGTTTATGGCACAGACGTGAGAACGCACTCTTTTTCTCTTTCATAACTTTTTTCAATTAATTAGTTTTTTGAGTGTCTTCATTTTTAAAACTGTATGCATGTATTGAATACTGGACAGTTTGTGACAAAACTGAGAAGAGCTTAACATTTGTTAGTATTTAGAACTTAGCATTTTAATTGAAGTAGAACATTGTTTATATCGATTTTGCTTCTATTAATTAGTAAACAATTGTTTCGGGAACATTTTAATTTTTCTGAACTTAATTTATAAATCAGTTATGTTACATATCTATCAAATCCCTGAATAAACTTTATTTTTATTAATATTAAGTTCAATTTAGTTACTTATAAAACCTTGATATAGTTATCGTACAATCGAATGCAAAACAAAAAATAATAATAACTGAAAGCGTGAAAAGTAAATAGACTAACGACAATACATCTAACAACAATAAATCAAAAATTGAGTCCTTTTTCTTGAAAGAAATAAAAGAAAAAAGATCTTGATAAATTATTAACCATGCAATTAGACAACAAATGTATATATTTTTTTATAATAGTCTTCTCAGGACTGTGCCGATTGAACAATTACCACGAGTTACCCTGGTAGTTCTAAACAAATACGTGATTCATATAATTTTAGTGTATTTGAGTAAAGAATATAAATTTTTTCACAAAGTAGATCAACAAAATCATTAAGAAATTAAAATTTTATCGATTAGGAATAAAGATTAATAATAATAGTTTACATTTTGGGAAAAAATGCTCGCTATCACCAATGAAAATGAATCAGTTAATGGAAATAAATCTGTTGATATAATGTTGACAAGCAATATTTTTGACAACCATACATTTGTATTTCTAAATAATTTCAATCATTTATTTAATTTTACTAAACGAAACATATTTTGCACAACAATCAAACTATTTTTCGGCATTTAAATTTTAAAATATAAAAATTATGCCTCATTTAAATAAACTATATTTAGCTATCGAATTTCAACAGTTTTATTATTTCCTTGATTTTGATTTAAAACGGACCACCTTGAATAATTTTTGATCTAATGATCAGTTTTTTTACGTTCTAGGACTAACTCTTAATGACTCAAGGGAGTGACCTCAAATATGCGAATTTATAAGAGCAGACGATATTTTAAGTTATGAAGCCAGATATAAAGTCATACTTTTACCGAATAAAAGTACAATTTTTTCGACGGATTCGAACTTCTGACCCTCAAAATATGGGGGTATAGACACTATCTGGGAAATATTGTCCCAATAATTTGGTCAAGAGATCTCTCCAAAGTTTGAACCCCTTATTGTTAATTTTATATTTTGCTTCTCTAGCAATATCTCGAGAACTTTTTAATAGAAATGAGAAAAAAAAATTACACACAATTATAAAATTCGTTTCTTCACAGATAATTTCATGCAAAAAATAACTTTTAGTAAGTATTTATTATTATTTTATTTCAGAATGATCGAAAAAATTTTAAATTTTAATATGTGTAATTTTCTGCATCATTTTAAAAAATTTAATTTTATATCACAAAATATAAGTGAAATCGATCTAATAGTTTCTGAGAAATCAAAATTTGAGAAAAACAGATACTTAAAATTCGATTTCTCTGAAATTATTAACAAATTTTTCTCAAACTTTGTAATTTGCCATGTAAAATTACATTCTTTAAAATGACTCAAAAAATTGTATACCTTACTGTTCAAAAATTTTTTTAACTATTGTTAAATAAAATAATAAAAAAATAAAAAATATCAAATATTGAATAAAAGTTATTTTTGCACGTTTGATTATCTTTGTTTTATTTGATTATCTTTGGATAAACGAATTTTATCATTGTTTTAAAAAATTTTACAATTCGCTTAAAAAGTTCTTGAAATATAGCGAAATACGCACAAAGTAAAATTAACATAAAGGGATCCAAACTTTGGAGCACTCTCCAGATCAAACTATGCCAACCATATTTCACAGATTGCTGCTACCCCCTACATTTTGGCGCTCCGAAATCAAAAAAGGGTATTTTTATTCAGAGAAAGTAAGTTTTTGTACCTTATTTCGTAACTTAAAGTATCGTTTGCATTTATTATTGCACATTTGAGGTCACGCCTTCCAGTCATTAAGATCAAGTCCTAGAACGTAAAAATTCTATCATTTGATCAAAAGTTATTCCGGAAAGCATTTTTTTGCATTTTTATGAAGAAAAAAAAAGAATTTGATTAGGATAGAATCAAAGATAGCCTTTATTTATTAAAAGCATTACAGGAGAATTTGATACAAGTAGTTTATTACTTGTAAACTTTTCTACCGTTTAATGGCTGCAATGGTCTATAAATGTTTAACATATGACATTGTTCAGCATCTGGTGTATCTTCCTTCACCGAATACAATGAAAACAGCTGATTCAACTGAAAATATTAAAAAAAAATTATGCATTCATATTGACTGAGGATTTGTAACATATTTATTAGCATGTCATAAGAGTATGACTATGAGAACAGTTCTGAATATTTTCGCTGCACAAAAGCTTTCACGATTTTTAAAAAAATTTCACACATCATGTTTGCACGTGCGATTCAAAAATTTTTATTTCAAAATAAATTCCAAACATTGTCTTCTTTTATATATAAAATTTCTACAAAGTATTACCCCCAAAAAAATGACAATAATTACAAGTTCCCCAAAGTTTTTATGGATTTCTGATTTGAAATTTAACAGCGTCTATTTATTTATTCCAATTTGCAAAATTACTTATTGCTTTTTTTTAGTTTCTTTACCGTGGTTTCAAATTGAAAATAAAAAAAGATCATTACTAAGTAGTCATTTCAATAAGAAACCTCTTTTTTTTCTTTATTTTGTATTATTTAAGTCAAAATAAAGGGAAAATATTCTTATTAGCATTTTATTAATTTAAAGTTATGAAATACAGCGCAGAACATCGGTGTCTTTATTTTGCGTTAAACGTTAAAAGTTCTAAACACAGGTCCTGCAGTGGACTGATTGTTTAGACGTGGTTCCCAGCAGATCACCGAAGTCAAGCATCAGTGGCTGCGGTCAGTGTGCGGGTGGGTGACCACTTGGATTAGTCTGCGGAGGGACCGAGGGTGTGCGGTATTGGTCCTCGTTAGACTGTTCTATCGGAAAGGGCTCGACTTCGCGTGCAGGTCGTCAGGCTACCGAAGAGGGGGTGCCATCCCCTCTGCAGAGGATCAAAATTGTGATGGCATGTCTTCGGATCATCCTCAGGGGTTTTTCCCAGACCGTCGCCAATAGCCCATTGTGCAGCTCTAGTGCGATGTAAATGAACTACAACAACAACAATCTAAACACAGCTCGTTTCTAAACAAATTTTTCAAAAATCCATTGCCTTGCAGTTATTTAATTGATTATTCTTCATTGAAATTTCTCTAATTCACAAAATCATTTATTAATAAATTTTTGAATATGTATAAAAAATTCTCAATATTAGACTAATTTTAATAATTAAAAAATACCAAAATATAATTCTGCTTCTAACCAGAGCGTCGAGGAAAAAATTTAATAAAACTGATTCAGGGGCCACTACTCCAACAGAGGGTAAAATTTTTCTACTATCCATGTAGGCTTGAGGTATGTGTCTTTTAATCATCAATTCTTATAATCACCATCGTAAATATTTTACCAAAGACTCGAAGAAATGCAATAAAAATGTAATAAAAATGCAATTCATAAAAATGTGGACATACTTGATAACTGCATACAGCTTTTTGTTTTCTACATATCAACCAGGTGACTCCTTCATTACATGGGGGAAAACCTATGGAACCCTCATACCTGTAGAAAGGACAGTTATTGTCAATCAGATCCTCTAGATAAATCTTGCCCTGTCTATGCGAATCTCTGCTCGACAGTTGAATTTCTCCTTCGAAACTTTGTCCTTCATATTGAAATGCTTCCCTAACGGACAAAATGTTGTATAGAGCTGAGTTTAGTTCATGGCTTTCCTGAGGAATAATGAAGTATGATTAAGTTTCTTTTTGTAAAAGTGTTTCGGAATATCATTCTTCATAAACACAGAAGTTTATTACTTATTCTTTTTAAAGGTCTTTTTTCTACATGGTTGTACAAATTGGTTGAGTTCGTACAAAGGTTCATGAATAGTGATCCCAGATGAATTTTTTATGGTGCTATGCCAAAAAGATAGATACTTAACAAAGATAGATACTTATTCCTAGAAACCTGATGCAGAGAATCATTAATGCTTCTGTTGTCTCTGATCAATCTAGAACTGCTAGAAAATTGCTTTTGCTTGTTGAAAATACCTTCTTGTGCTTGTTTCAGTCTGAGAAGCTTATATTAAGGTTATTAGACCTAATTTTCATACTCTTAAGTTTGCTTGCAATTTATGAAGCTCATATTGCTCATGGGGCTGCAACAGTGGCACAAATAAAAAAACACTCATTTTGGACTAAGAACTGGTGTAAATAGGAAAATACATATTCTTTTCAGCAGCAATACTAGCACACTCATAATTCAACTTGAAGGTAATTTTCGTTTAAGCAAACTAAAGAATTTCTTATGCTTCTTCCTTAGCAATGAAAACTTTAAACCCACTTATCTCAAAACTTGATTCTTTTAGTTGTGCCGCTATTGCAGCCCATGAGAGATGTAAAAGCTCCGTTCTTATGCATCAAAGTATCATTATATTATATTAAATCTGTCCACAAATCGATTTAAACTACTGCTGCCATTTAGTATTTTGTAAAAGAAATACATCTCTAAGAGAACTGAGAGCTTGACCTCAAAACGATTAATGTAAATTTACTACCACTATTAAAATTGTGTAAGTCTTAACACGATTTATAAGACACCAGTAATTCCTCCGTTAAATTTCCACACTAGCCGTAAAATTAAAGAAATGCAACTCTAGTAACAATGCTCAGTGACTAGTAACAATGCTCAGTATTCCCCATAATTAAAACCGAGTGACTGAATAAAAATTGTTCAAAATCGAAATTCAAATGCAAATTAAGCAGTTAAGCTTGCTATACATATTCATAATTTGCTGCTTAATTTAGTGATTAGTCAGCAAAAAAACACAACTGCAAAATTAAGAAGTATAACGAAATACTGTCAATTAGCCAAAATTTATCTAGACTTAATAAGTAAAAAATATTATTCATGTTCATATTGTTCAATATATTTTGATGTCAATATAAGCCCCCTCTTCCGTAACCAGAAAACTTGTTAGCATTCTCTGTAGGAGTGTTAATTTAAGGTTTCTATAAAAGTCAAACGTGTTTTGCAGATTTCAGCCATTTCCAGGCCTATACAACACGTAATTTTTTCAAATGTTCTATCATCAATTACCCAAAATCTAACCTTCTATAAGGCTGACTGCATTTTTCCTTAAATGCTTATTAAAGTAGGAAACTTGGGGTCGTTAACTGGAATTTTTTGTTGCAAAAAAAAAAAAAAAAAAAAAAAAAAAAAAAAAAACTGGTTTAAGAACAAGCTTTTTGCGTGGTGATAGCAGCCTGCTCTAAAGATGTGAACAAAAATATAATTGTGCATACCTCAAGGAATCCTGCAACAGCAACAATTTTTCCATCGTTCTCATGAACTAAATGAGTCTATTCCGAAAAGAGAAAAAAAAAGTAGAAATTAATAAGCATATACAAATGAAGTAATGAAAATTAATTAATGTTAAACTTACTCTTTAACTAATTAAGTCTAATTTTTTTTATATCGACGGTAAAAATAATTTTTCATCATAATAAGTATATTAAAATTATTATAATCATAAGTTCTATGGATGATTTTCACTTCGCTGATTTGCAATTAAAATAAATAATATTATTTTTCCTTCCCTCATATTTCGTAGCTAACGTCTGCAGTTTTCAAAAAAAAATTTCCAGTATGCAGTAAAATTACATTGCAGTGATAAATTGCGAGCAAAACATTTTTTGTCACTTTAGCACGTTGAATGCCATGGGGGTCACCGGTAACCGGCACTGAGTTTGTTCATAGCACCACGGGCGTCACCGGTGACCGAAGCTAAGATTATTAGAAACACATAATTCGAATAAATTTTCATTTTTTTTTAATATTATTATCGTTACTTAAATGGTTTGAAGAAATTAATGCAATATAGAACACACAAAAATAGTTTTATTTATATACAAACAGAGATGCCAACTTGCTCCGGACAGCGCATAAATATTTTCAAGTGGTAGTTTATTAATTGTGATTCTCGGTTTAATAAATTTTATTTAGTAGATTTTGTTGTACCACTATTTCTAAACAAGACGTCTATAATTTACCAATTATTTTAGTTATGTCCTACTGAACCTTTTAAAAACTAGCAAAATCTGTCAATATTTGCACATTTAGTTTGTAGTTATTTACCGTTTGACCAGATGGGAAAGTCATGTGAAATTAGCTTGGTATTCAGCGTGTTAATCAGTACCTAAAGTTTTAATAAAATAGCTATCGGATTTTTAATAATTTATGTTTAAAGATATATAATGGTAGTTAAAATCTTTTTAAATCATATCTATTTAGTGAAGATTGTAGTATCAATAAAGCGTACTTCTGATGATATTTTAAACATAAAATCTTGAGAAGACCTATAAAATTAGTATCATTGTATTTAAGAGAAATAACAAAATTGGGCCCTCATTGGAGATAAAACCAGTTTTTCGATCTTACAAAAAGTAAAGCTCATTTCCCAACAGCATGAGGTCCACTTTCAATGAATCCCGTCCCACATCGATATCCACGGCAACGAGTTGGCTGACACTCTTGCAAAGAAGGGACTAGACCATCCAGTCCCCTCCACCTCAGAGCTTACATACCTTGAACTTTTTGCAAGGCAAAAGGCCCAGAATAAACAAAAGTGGCTGCTTCCACCTATTCACTACTGGTATAAAGCAAAAAGACCAGGACTCTCTCTATCTCTCCCTGGTGACAGGCAAACCAACACCTGCCTATCCCGACTGGCCAGTGGACACCTGAAAAGTCTCACATTTTCTGCAAATCAAAAGATCTTTCCTCTTTGCCCTAAATGCCAACAAAACCAGGCATCACCTGAGCACATCTTGA